GAGCAGGGAGTGGTGCTTTCTTGCAGGTTTGCCGAGTGGACGGGTCGCGTCGATGGACTTCTCGTGTGCTTTGGATGGCAGTCGTGAGTCAGTCACGGTGAGAATTCAAGTCGGCAGGAAAACCGCCAGCTGCCATGTAGGGAGCAACACACACTTCCCCAAGGATATACCGGTACATGACAATTGTATACATTATTGTAAGCCCCTTTTAAGTTATATACTCTGCTAACTCCGGAGTATGGTCCGAGACTGGGCCCACGGGAGTCGTACAAACCCTTCATTTACGTTTGGCTTTTTACGACTCGCTGCATGGCCGATCCGAGACTCGTGTGATCATGGTGATCGTGAGAGCTAGAGCCTACAACAGTACAAGTAGTAGAGGATCTTGACCACATCGCATGATCGACAGGCGATAGATTGTAATGTAGGATTTGGAGGAGAGATATGCGCTTCCCGAATCCCTTCGCACAAATCATATCCCCAATTCATTTCGCCAGGAACTTAACAATTTCATTCATCTTGGGCACCCTGTAAGAAGACCTTAGGCTTATAGCTTATGGTCTGTTGTTGGGAATGCCCAAGTAAAATAATCTGTCCCTCCAGGAAATCGCGATTCCACGGATGCAACAAATTTCGCTATTTTGGCCCAAACCCGCGATTTTCAGCAAAATCCGCGATTTCCCGCGTTTTTTGTTGTTTTCTGCACTATATCTCACATGTTTCATGCACTTTTCACACAGTGCTTTCCATGATCCTGTACAGGTTATTTGCACAGTATGACTAGTACTACTCCGGAGTAGATACATGTATACGATGCAACAAATTTCGTGATTTGGCCCAAATCCGCAATTTTCCGCAAATAATTCCGCGAATTCCTGGCAAGTTCTGCATCATTCCGCACTTTTCGTCGCATTTTTTGTTGTTTTCTGCCGCAATTTCTTGCGCAAGTTTTCGAGAGTTTTTTTCCGCAAATTCCCGCAGGGACAGAATAATACAATACAATACAAAAAAATATGCTCCACCAAGACGGCAAGAGTACATAACATGGGGTGGGGGTTATCACGGTACATGTACTCTTGAGTCTTGGCTCCATGCATACCACGATTATTATGAAGTAAACACGCTCTCAGTCTGTTCAACACAGCCAGGCGCGTACGCAGGGTCACCTCTAGGGGGGTTTCCAACCGAATCGCAAACAATGACTCGTTTTAACCCTTTGTATTTTGTATACCCCGTATTTCTAAAGAGCCCTAGGAAATTTTCAAAATTATGCATTTTTTCGTGTTCTCTGGAACATAACTTCAGTTCCACTCACTCAATCTTCTTCATTATCTTACGCTTCCTGGAAGTGAAAAGGTACCCTGGAGAGAATGAGGTCGACCATGATAGCCAGGACACAGTACAGCCATATACATGTACATGTACATATCCAGCGCTATCTGCTATAGCTGTAGAGTGCAGCGACGATGCGAAAAAAATACCCCAAACTGGGCCCAAACGCGTCCTGCTCCAGCGATTTCGTTTTTCTTGATCGCAGAGTTTCGATTTTTTTGCTGTGTAGACTTACTCTTGAAAACATCACAAGTGAAGGGCCTAGGCCCTGCAGATTTGAGCAAGTCCGCGTAGATCTATGCGTGACGAAAGGTCTCAAATTCTCAATATTGAAATTGCGAGATCGCGGCTCAACTCACGAACGATTTATCTCAAGAGACATTGCTCGCAGCGCGTCTCAAATAATTGTTTCAACCGACAGCTGAGAGTTTGCTATTCGACCTGGATATTGGGATCGTTGGATTTGAGCGAGATTTGACTGAGTTACGATCTGTTGAAGTTTTGCATTCTTGCCAGATCGATCGTGCGCCCTACCAAAATATGCCCAAAAACGTTGCTCGTTTGGAACATTTGGGGGGTTTCCGGGCAACGGGAAACCCCCCTGCGTACGCGCCTGACAGCCCAAGTCAACGAAGTGTACGTGCAGCTACTGCAACTTTGCAAGGACAACATAACATTCACAACAAGAGTTCATATTAAAGGGGAAGTGCATCGATTTTTCAAGTAGGGTTCAGATAAAAGACAATTGGATATCGGTTCCGATGGTATATCTCTCGCTTGCGTACGGCAAGGGAAACTTGCCATATCGCCGATTTCCCGATCCCGTTTCCATGGCGACTACAGGTGATGACGCACATTCTGCTTAGCTCCGTGAGAGAGAAGGTCGATCACTGCAGAATTGTGTCATTTTCAGTTGTCTTCTTGTATTCACGAAGTGAAAGAAGTACTGTGTTCAATGCTGTTAGTGCCGTGAACTGTTTATCAGTAGTCCTCTCCGTTGTGTACTGGGACGTGACACCGACAGGGGAAAGCTGGAGTGCGGAGACGTTAGCTGGCAAGCGAAAATCGTGACGAACCAAGTGCTGAAATCTTGGTTGGGACAAATCAAACGTTCAGCATTTACCTCAACCAAGGACCATGCCGTTTGCTCTTTCCACTTCCTGAAGATGGATGCGCTGCCTGCTGGAGACTCTCCTATCTCTCGTAACATCTTCTGAAGCCAGGTGAGACGACGAGTAGCGGAGATTAGCGAACGAAATAATGTCGTATGTTTTGAATTTTTTGCTGAACATATCTCAGGAGAGATGGCATGTATGAACTTAGTCCATTTGAACTCAATCAGCCCATGAACTAACCCATGAACAAATGCTTTCCTTGCAGACGTGCATGAGTTTATCCAATCTACACGTAGAGATCATTCCATGCCCTCAGTGAATGGCCCATTTATATTTGTCCATACACTTCATCTGCATGTTGTCTCTATGGAAAAGGGTATTGTTCATTTCATAATTTATGAAGAAGTTCGGGCAATAGATGCTTTCCTCTGGTACAATTCTGTTGACCTGATGTTCTTTCTAGCTTCATGGGTAGCTTAGGTGAGGTACCATCATCATCATGTTTACATGAGGATCAAACACTGCACCGTTCTTTGTTGTGACATGACGTAAGTTATTGTAAGTGCTCGCAGACTCCATACGTTCCAGCAACACCTAGCATGGTTTCCCGTGAAGGTTGTGGGTGAACAAATTCCTGTCCAACATATTTATACGGACATGCCAGCACACACCATGCACCATACACCATTCACACACTTGCCCTGCCCTGTCGAGTCACTGCCACGTGGGCCCGGAGGGGCAGTGGAGAGAGAATGGGAGAACGCCGCCCCATGGCACCCGGGACACAAAAACAAGAGTTTGTCTATGTAGGGAGCAACACACATACATACATACATACATACACCACACACACACACACACACACACACACTTGTAGTTGTACTTGCTCACTGCCAAAACTGGTCACGTGGGTCTCCCCGGGAGAGGGGAGAGAGACTCAAAAGGAATCTTGGAAAGATGACTCAATTGGCCATTGAACCACCCAACGGCCGACACCCCCGCACACACACACACACACACACACACACACACACACACACACACACACACACACACACACACACACAAAATGAGAGTTCGGGTCATCTGCCACGAGACTGACGTACGGCCGCGGAGAGCTTCAGCAGCGGTGTCTATTCCTGCCCTGGACCGAACGGAAGCAGCGGTCGCAGGACACACAGTATTCACCACAACACGGCTCCACTGTCGTTGGGGGCTGAGCCACACACTTGTGACAGGCAAGAACGCCATAGCTAAGAAAGCAACGGCCACAGCGATCACACTGGCATGCTCCACGCTGCTCCTGCACACACTCTCTCTCGCTCACACACACACACACACACACACACACACACACACACACACACACACACACACACACAACACACACACGCGTGCGCACATACTGCAAGAAAGAAAGAGAGCATGAGTGTCAGATTCTTGCATAGGAAGTGTTTATCAGCACACACTTATACATGCACATGTAGGCACTCAACGACCAACTATGCACCATGCCGTATGTTCGTCAAACATAAGATTGCAATACCAAAGAACAACATAAACAAGATCACTTACTTCGTTCTCCTCCAAGTGTGTCCTCCCCAGCCAGGCCGTCTCCTGCATTTCCCTAGGCGAAATGTAGCCTACGAAATGGTTTCTCTAGACTAGGAGAAGATGCTTGGTATTCGCCATCTCTCCTGAGAAATCAGCAAAAATTTCAAAACATACGACATTATTTCGTTCGCTAATCTCCGCTACTCGTCGTCTCACCTGGCTTCAGAAGATGTTACGAGAGATAGGAGAGTCTCCAGCAGGCAGCGCATCCATCTTCAGGAAGTGGAAAGAGCAAACGGCATGGTCCTTGGTTGAGGTAAATGCTGAACGTTTGATTTGTCCCAACCAAGATTTCAGCACTTGGTTCGTCACGATTTTCGCTTGCCAGCTAACGTCTCCGCACTCCAGCTTTCCCCTGTCGGTGTCACGTCCCAGTACACAACGGAGAGGACTACTGATAAACAGTTCACGGCACTAACAGCATTGAACACAGTACTTCTTTCACTTCGTGAATACAAGAAGACAACTGAAAATGACACAATTCTGCAGTGATCGACCTTCTCTCTCACGGAGCTAAGCAGAATGTGCGTCATCACCTGTAGTCGCCATGGAAACGGGATCGGGAAATCGGCGATATGGCAAGTTTCCCTTGCCGTACGCAAGCGAGAGATATACCATCGGAACCGATATCCAATTGTCTTTCATCTGAGCCCTACTTGAAAAATCGATGCACTTCCCCTTTAATAACCCTCTTGAACTCTTGATAACAATGATAAGACATCTACGAGTAGTCGAGAGCAGGGCTAGCTGAGGGAAGCGTTTTGCGGTGTAGACTTATGCAATTGTACGTAGTACGAGTCTGTACCCTCATGATTTGTTGTAGGCGAATCTACGCGGGATACGGGAAATAGCCGATATCGATTGTCCATAGTCGATGCCACTGGCACCACCATGTACCAGTGCAGTCTGCTTTTGTCGTCGGTGTGTGTTGCACTGGAAAACCGTACAAAGCATTGTTGTCTTCAGGTTGTCTCCAAACAAAGTTCAGTCTATGTTTGCTTTTGGGGGAAAAATACGACGGAAAGGAGCTAGAGCTATGGACGAAGATAGTTTATCAAGCTAGAGTAGAGAAAAATTGAATTCAGAAGCTGATTTCAGCTGCTTACCATTATTATTTCCAAGTGTACCAGTTCCTGCTTGAGTTTTCAGCAATATCGTGACTTTCTATGTGGCCAGCTTCTGGAAGTAGTACTAGTAGTACCAATGAAGGTGGACGCCACTTTACAAGCCCTACTCAACCGTCCTCCGGACAGAGAGGGATGCCTGCGTGTCCTGTCTTGCCCGTCAGACCGCCTATTGATTGGTGAGAAGATGATTCGTGTGAATTGTAATTTTTTCAATTGAAGATCATTGCTGATTGTTTACGCTGACCATAATAAAAGTGAGTATTGTCATTGTTCCTGGTCTACACGACGGATTGTTGTTCAGTTCGGCAAAATATTGAAGTGGTGTGTAGGCGTGCGGATGCGTGGTTTTGATTTGGCGCCCGTCAACATCACTTCCAGCCACACACGACGTGTTCGTTGTCACGCAATACTATTAATTTTCGGTGTGTCACTCAAATTGCCCAACACCAATGGAGTCGCAGGCCCACCTGATACAAGCCCATCATGTTCTTGTGGGAAAACTCATAACTCCTGTTGACAGTCGATTGTCAGATTTGAATAAAAGCTGTTTCGTTTATATTCTGCTCATTGGCCAAAACCTTTCGTTCAGTGGTTCATGAACTATGAGCACAGGCATGGCAGCCTAAAAAGCAGACAGACTGTGAAGCAGATTTCTAAACAGCAGAGCACAGCAAGAACTACCGCATTTTTCGGAGTATAAGCCACCACCCCCCCCCCCATTTTTTTCCCACGAAATACAGACATCTACCCTATTTATCACCTTTAATTTGATCATCGGAGTATGAGCCGCACCCCCCCCCCCCGTTTTTGAGTGAGTTTTGAGTTTTCAAAGTGCGGCTTGTACTCCGGAAAATACGATACAACTACTTTGAGCGGCCGGAGTGATCAAGACTCTGCCCTGCACACTTTGCCCATGCACGTGACACGGCCAATCCGTGGCATGAACGTGTGCATGAAGCCCTGCACGCAGCTGTGTGCATGAAGCCCTGCACGCAGCTGTGTACAACCCGGTTTCATGCCTGCCAACCTTTGCAAACCTGAGATCGGACAATGACATACGTAGGTATGAAAATGTTTACAAATCTAGCTGAGGCATGCGACAAATGTACTTTTTGGGCGCCTAGCACCACCCTGCGATATCGGGACGGTCCCGGACGAATGGGGATATCTTAGACACACAGCAGCCAGACCCCAGTTGCACACTCTTGCGGTTATGGACTCTTGGTATTGTACTACATGTACTGCAGTTGACTTGTTTGTCTGATAATTGGCCATTGTGCAATGAAACTTCTAGTCAAGGGCAACTCCGCTTCGTACCTGCCGTTGTGCAGCATTACGTCAGACCTCAGCAGACTCGGCACATGATTTGTAGCTGTTGTTTTGTTAGAAGCAAGGAGTCATACAGACACGCCATGGGTAGAAGTAGCTACACAGTCCATGGAAAACGCACATCAGGCATAGCAGTTTTTTTTTTTTTTTTTTGCCCCGTAAAAGATTATTTTTTTGAAAAACGTAAACTGTTCGGCACCTATGAAATCAGGGGATGGCCCACGCCTGGTAAAAACCCAATGAGGAGCTACAGTGAGAAAAAGATAGTGATAAAGGACCATCAGTGAAAGGGTATAGTTTCTTCGTGCTATGTTTTGTATAATGCACATGTACATGACTACATGACTACATTGTAGTTCTGACGGTTGAGTGTTCGCGTCGGAGGTTGTGGAAAAGCAAGAAGGTTCTTTCATGTGTTCCAACTTTCAAGTGTTGGTACAGCAGCAGAACAGTGAATTTTAGAAAGTAACTTTTGAAGTGGAGTTAGCGGGTTTTTGTGGGAAATATGAGGTATGTTTGATCAAGGATGCCTTCCTGCACTATCAAACACGACAAAAAGAAAAAAAAGGGTTGAGAAATCTGATTTTAAAAGGTCGATGGAGAGTATGATAATTCTGGAGAAAGCAGCATCCAGGGCTAAGCTCATCATCAGTTGGAAGCGGGGATGGTAGTACATATTACTACTACCAAGAGTATATACATGTAAGCCTGGGGGGTATATACTCTTGCTACTACCTGGCTGGAGGTTTACCATTCACTGATTGATTTTCAGGGTCAAATGTGGGCTAATTTTGCTCCCCCCCCCCCCTCTTCATAGCTCGATTAGTACATGTACTTTTGTGTGGGGAAAGTCGTGGCACCCCCCCCCCCCCCCCCTTGATCACTATCCTGGCTACGCCACCCTGGGGTGGGTGTCGTATCTCTGTCTGTCTGTCTTTATCTGTCTCTTTCTCGGCTTTCTATTTGTCTGTCTGTCTGTCTGTGTTGTGCATGTGCGCACGCGTGTTTTGAATTTCAGGATCGGCCACTTATTGCCGTGTCGTCGGCGACTTGTTTGCATGCTACAGTGGAAAGGACGCCAAGGTGAGTTTCCACACTCTCTCTCTCTGTGGACTTTGTGCATTTCTCTTCCGGGACAGCCGCGTTGCAGGCGCTTAGCCCGCATGGTGCACTGGGGCACCCCCCCCCCCCCCCTAAACATTTCGACCTAGGTTCAGCATGCACATTATGACCATGATGATATGCACCAGCCATCCCATGCCCTTATGGTAGTCTTCCATCAGTGTGACATAATGAGATGCCTATCCACTTGCCGTGATCACTTTCCACACATATTAAGACACATGACCAAAGGCTTTTTTCATTTCTACTTTGTTTTTGTTTGTTTACAATTTCCGTCTTGCAGAGCCCAGTTGAGGATGTCATAAGCCTGCTGAACCATGGGATTCAAGTGATTGACGAAGAGAATACTTTCGGCTTTGAGTTGGGTAAGTGCCTGCTATGTGCCGCCCTCTATGCCGGCTGCGCTCAAGCAATTTGGCAGGTGATGGTGGCGGTGCTGCTTCTGGTGCTGCTGCTGCCGGTGGTGGTTCCGCTGGTGGTACTGGTAGTGCTGCTGCCGGTGGTGCTCATGCTACTGGTGGTGCTGATGGTGGTGGTGGTGGTGCTGCTGCTGCTGCTGCTGCTGCTGCTTCTGGTGGTGGTGCTGCTGCTGCTGCTGCTGCTGCTGCTGCTTCTGGTAGTAGTGCTGCTGCTGGCTGTGGTGGTGATGGTGGTGGTGTTGCTGCTGCTGATGGCGGTGCTGGTAACAGAGTAGGAGTGCGGTGTAATTTGTCCTTGGTGGCCACCCCATAGTGCACTGACAGCTGGTCTCTTAGCACAGGTGGTCTTTCAAAACAGGTTTTCAATTTTAATGTGCAGTGATATGGTTTTGTGACTGAGATGGCCGTTCTGAAATGATAGCAGGTCTCTTATAGAATGGCCTTGTCGGTCTTTCATGGCAGGTGGTCTGTTAAAACAGGTTCTAATGTATGTTGACTCTCGTTGAGACATGTTGACCGAGGTGACCAGTCTCAAACAATAGGTGATCTCTTATGGGAAGACCTCGCACCGCATGCTACACAGACGTAGGCCATAGTGTACATGCTCGAGAGTGCCACGTTGCACTTCAGCAAAGGATTCAAGTCCAAAAGTGCTTTTCCGCATCCCCAGGGGATGGCGGTGTCTTGAAGTGCAGGATTCAAGGCGAGTTTGATCTGGCAAGCACGATGAGATTCTGCGACTTTCTCTCCGGCAGATGGCGGCAAAGCATGTGGGGTACATTTTGACAATGCATATGGTGTAAAGATGGAGTATATGGCATTTAATTCACTAAATGTGTTCCCAAAATGGAAGCATCCTGTACATGGTGCATGTCACATATTTGGCATCTTCCGTAAAGCACCGCCAGAGCGCCCCGTCTCGCCAGAGCATCCCACCTTGATTTTACAGCCAGGGAAAGGAAATCGTATGGCAGAGTGCAACGAAGTGTGTACGGTGTGAGAACCTTTGTGTACTAAGGTCACGCTTAGCAGGTTTTTGTATGGGGGGCAGCTCCGCGGTAAACGAGTAGTATTTGCTATCCGGACTTCAGTGTACGCGTTTCAGGCGTCAGGGGATTTTTGATCGTTGTCTACTAATGAGATTTGTCTTGTAACTGATGTCGTGCTAACGAGGGTAGACCTGCAGCTGGTGCGTTACCATGGTGTCCATCTGTATATAGTAACGGAAATTCTTTGTTAGGCGCTTGCATTCATGTGCGAACTGGCTCTGAGACAAAGGGACGCATGCATCCATTTCCCGCCATTTGGTACTGCGGGGCAAGTCCACTACAACCGTACACACCTTGATACCAACTCTGCCTAAAAGGTCATGAACTTTGTGAGGTCATACTCATAAATGTACTAGACCGGGTTGTACCTGCCAAATATGGGATAACTTGCCCCGCAAAAAGGTGACGGCCGCCATCTTAGATGCATACATCCCATTGTGTGTACAGGCCCGGTGGAACCCGTCCGGTTGCTCTAGCCATGGCCGGAGCAAATTTTTGCCCACCAACTTGTGTTTCCTGCGGAGGAGGCGATGTGTATACCCTCCATATCATACACAGACTGTATGAAAGGCTGGGGTATGGCAGGACCAATCAAAAACTGCTTCTGCCAGTCATGCAGTGTATCCTGTGATCTGTGCATTTCTCTTCTTTGCTGTTCACAGAGCCGCAGTCGGCCAGTTCTTCTGTTGGCTATCGCTTTGCATGTCAGTCTCTCCAAGAGGCGGATTACTGGGTGGAAACGCTTTCCACATGCAAGTAAGATGAGCTTCGGATACTGTCCTTGGCTTTTTTTAGTCGTTACAAGTACAGGTCACCTGGCCGCGTGTGTGTGTGTGTGTGTGTGTGTGTGTGTGTGTGTGTGCTAAAATTAGTGGCGGTCAATTCATCAGCCTTGCAAGCTGTTGAATGGTGTAATCCCAGCACTAGTTGCTATGTCTAACATAGCTTTTCGCTATCATTGCTTCTGCGATGGGCAGGTCTGAGGTGTGCGTGTATCTGTCTGTATGTACATGTATGTCTGTCCGTATGTCTGTGTCCGTGCCTGTGTCTCCGTGTATGGTACAGTCAGACCTCGCTTAACCGCACACATCTGCTTTCCACAAAAATATCCGGATAGGCGAGGGAACCGGATAACTGAACACACATACTGTATATGCACGTGACATGTCAAAAGCAGTGACACCATACATACATGTAGACAGGTGCTATGCAGTACAACTAGCGTGCCCAGTATGTAAAACAAGCGAGAAAAATGACAAGTGCATGCAACTGAGTGTTATCCGCATGCATCCAGCAGATCAAGGACCTCATTTCAGGGCATAGATTAACGGCCGGACATCGGACATTTTCCGGCCATTTTCGGCCACTGACCGGACGTTTTCAATTTCACCGGACATAGTGTCCGGTCAAAAAGGAAAAAAAGAGCAGCGACTTTTCGACCTTTTTATGCAGAGTGGGGCTTTCTTCGGAGCTTCGTGCCAAATGCGACTTGCATATCGTACAACTAACACGTCTTCACCGTAGCCTCAGGCGTAGACTTCATCATAGTTTACTTGATCCGCCTGTAGCAACGCGGTTGCTACAGTCAATTCACACTTTCGACCTTTGGTACCGGTACATGGTGTCGACTTCGCACTTGAATCGATGGGTTGAACTGCAGTAGTGACTTTACTCCCTCGCACCCAGACGCTGATTTTTTGGAAACAAGTTTCTATACTTCCGATGGGAGAATCCGACATGGCAGTGCATTTCGGCGTGGCCAGGTCAAATTGTAGAATATCGCATCGAGTGAATTGCTTTATCTGAGAGAGGAGATGTTCGTGCCCTTGAGACCCGAAGTCCCGTTTCCATACGACAAAATTTAGGAGCTCTGCGCTCAGCGCTTTTTCAGGGTATGAATTTCGGGTTGTTCTGGTTGGGTCGCAGCGTCGCGGACTATTCCATCGTCTTCAGCGTCGAAAAACTACTGACCATGTGAAATTACAAGGCGGTGAGACGCTTTCGTCTTCCTCTACGAGCGAATTTGTTCTGCGCCAGCATACCTAAGTATGCAATTTCGTACGCGCAGTTCGAGTGTCGAGGCGTGTGCACTGTACACCTGGTACACTGTACTGCATGCACGGACTGTGCGGTCGTTCTCGATTCTCCCATCGCTCCCATTCATTTCTGTTTTCAGCAAAAGTCCAACTTGGCGCACTTCAACTCACTATAACTCAAGAATGGCTGGGCCGATTCGAATAATACTTACAGATTTCCTATGTGCTACGCCTGGGAGAATGGAATGAGACCAAAATCGAAGCGATCAGAGCAAGTTTTGGAAATTGGGTGTAGTCACTAACTGCAGTGCAGTTGTTCGCTCTTGAGAGGAAGATGTCATCTTTTATTTTTTCACTCTTTCACCGACCAGGAATGCAGGTAGTCTTTTAGAATGTCTTCTGGAAAGCGAAAGGGAGATTCAGAGGACTTGCCGCCGGGCAAAAAAGTCCGTGGTGTGAAGGCCGCTACTTGCGATAAGTGGATCTCAGACAATGATGCAGAGCTGACTACTTCCGCCTGGCTGATTTATGACCGGCAGAAGAACGATCGGCTGTTAGCAGAATGTTTGAAGTGTTCCGTGTGCATCAAGTTTGTAGACAGAGTCCGCAGTTGTAAAACCTTCAGCGAGGCTTTCATAACCGGATCCAAGAACCTGAGAACATCTGCGTTCAAGGATCATGCTGGAACGGAGATGCATAAACGAGCAATGAATCTTTTCCGCAGGCAAGAGTGTCCCACTCGAAATGCCCTCGAATTCGCTCCAATTGCGAAGGCACTGTGCAAGATGGACGATGGTGCTGCCGCTATTGCACGACGCAAATTCGAACTGACTTGCCTTCTCTGCAAGGAGCATACCGCGTTCGCAAAATTCGAATCGTTCTGTCAACTCGAGGAGCGTCACGGTGTGAACCTCGGTACAGGTCGAAAGAACCAATTTGCTTGTGCGACCTTTGCGGATTATATCGCTGAGTCCCTGAAGAGGCAGCTGTCCTCGAATCTGAAGAAGTCCAACTTCTTCAGCGTGCAGACAGATGGCAGTACAGACGCTGGCAACATCGAGGATGAAGTATACGTTGCCCTGTATTGTGACTCCCATTGCGATGATGGGAAGATCCATGTCCACAAAGTGACATAGTGCGTCATTGTGAATATACTTCAGTACTACTAAAAAAAAGAAGAAGAAGCACCCTGAAAATGTGTTGTGGAAAATGTCCGGGCATGTCCGGACAGATTTCAAAACGGAAGGACATTTGTCCGAGCTAAATGAGATCCTTAAGCTATGCCCTGCATTTGCTTGTACAACTCCCTGATACTAGCTTCTGCAAGCCACATGCAACCGGATACGACGAAGCTTTTTGTACACATTTTAACCAGTTTGTACACAAAATCATGCACCGGTATGCGGATCGCGAGGTCCGGTTATGTTGTATGCATAACATATGCTGCACATTGGTAACCAGCGATTTTCGTGCGGATGGCGAGGGATCCGGATAAACGAGGACCGGATAAGCGAGGTCTGACTGTAGTTGTTCTCGGCTTTCACACATGTGCACTGTGAGAACGTGCCTGCGTGTTTCAACTGTTGTTCTGTATGTCTGTTGACAGGGATGGTCACCAGCGTGAGGACCTGTACGAAACATGCCCACCCGCAGCCATTGGTGTAAGTGCTGCCTTGCTGTCATGGCATTGCTAGGGAGACGGCCACAACTACCTTTCAGCTGATTTTAGTTATTAGTTGTACTTACTAGCACGGGCGCTGTCCAGCAAACGGACGTTCACCTCTTTCTAAATCCGTTCCCCTGTCCATATACAGTAATATCTATGTCTGAGATTGCTCGAGTGCATTTGTGTGCGCACGCACTTCTCTCTTGGTGGTGTGTATATGCAGGAGGCCGAGTTGTGCACACGATGTGATTGTCTGGCTTGGAAGGGCGGTTGGTTGTGTGTATGAGACTGTGCATTGGTACGGATTGAAACGATGGCGGCATGTAAGCCAAGGTGTTGTTCTGTGTATTGTTGCTGTCCTGTGATCAGGGGGCTAGCTGTGCCCCGCTGGCCGTGTCCGTGTCCTCCCCCATGCTGCCAACGCGACCGCGCAGGTCAGCACTGCGCAGTGCCGGCTGCCCGCTAGCCGGCCAGTCACCGGGGGAGCTCGAGCTGGAGCCTGGTGAGTGGGATTGAGTCTTGTGTGGCAGTGAATGTCACTGCAGGTCTACCCTCGTTAGTACGATACTGGTATCCGTTACAAGACAAACCCCATCAGAAGACAACGATTCATAATCCCCTGACGACACATGTTTCAAAAGTATAGGCCTCTAGACTTTTTTCGAATAATTGAAATTTGGTTCGAGCTTTTTGAGAAATTTCTTCGGAATATTGCTCAGTCAGCTCACCCAATTTTTCTCGTATAAATTTCTAAGTGATTGGATAACAGACACCCAATTTTAAAAAAATTATGCACAAATTGATCACAGATTTGATGTGGTATAGATGCTGGCCGAACAGGTTTTTGAAACCAGAGGTCTGGACTTTTGAAACGTACTATAATGTTCGTTCATATACATGCAAGTCCTGATAGTAGACAATACTCATTATAAAGACAAAAATGGTTGAAGCCCCCCCCCCCCCCCCCCCCCGTGTTGTCTACAAATGTGGGTAGACCTGTACTAGAGAGATTGGATTGCTATCGGCGTCAACGTTAGCGCATGTAGCTGAGCCCTCAGATTAACACGTCACACACGTTGTTCGTTTTGTGCTGAGATGCACTCGGCGTGAACTCGCACATCTGCGTACTCATGTCGACACTTTGCAGTACTGTATGTGGTGGCATTCGTTTTCCTGCAATTGTTGCATTTGACGAGTCAACACATGCAGTATCACAACACGAATTCTCCACAAAGTTCAAAATACCAAATGTACACTTGCGTTACAAAGTATTCCACTTGGCCCGTCTCTCTCTCTCTATCTCTCTCTCTCTCTCTATCTATCTATCTTCCTCTCTCTCTCTCTCTCTCTCTCTCTCTCTCTCTCTCTCTCTCTCTCTCTCTCTCTCTCTCTCTCTCTCTCTCTCTCTCTCTCTCTCTCTCTCTCTCTCTCTCTCTCTCTCTCTCTCTCTCTCTCTCTCTCTCTCTCTCTCTCTCTCTCTTTCATACACGAGTGAGGACTCAAACAGGTGTGCTGTGGATTGTCGTGGCTTTTGTGACTGAACTTTGCTTTTTCTCAATCCGCGCACACGTCTGCTCGACGTCTGTGCGAGGTGAGAACGTGGACATGTGTGTACGAGTGCCTTGGAAGTTGGCGGCACAGCTTGCCTGTGGAACCATGCCTGAGATCCGAGCACTCTCTTGAACTATGCTACCAGTACGTATACTAAGGAGTTAGTAGGTAGCAGTGGTCAAATGGATCGTGAAGTTGAAACCGATGCGTGTGTGTGATGGGTTTGCCTAGGAAGGTGCCGTTTGTTTTCCCAGTCGTTGCTTTGTGTTTACATTATTTTTACAGCCTAATTTGTGTGTGTGTGTGTGTGTGTGTGTGTGTGTGTGTGTGTGTGTGTGTGTGTGTGTGTGTGTGTGTGTGTGTGTGTGTGTGTTATGTCCTCTGCAGGGGTAGACAGTGTCTATGATGATCACATGTTTCTTGTCAGTAAGTTTACAGCAGTGCGTAACGTGTGGCAAAAATCTCATGCACCCACTTCATAACGCACTTTCGCGTGTGAACACATGCACGTCAATCAGTTCATTTGACAGGACTATCATGCTGACGTCTTTCTGTTCCCTTACCTTCTCCTTACTACCGGGTGTTCTGCTTGTGTGTCTGTGTGTCTGTGTGTCTGTGTGCCCAGGCTGTGAGTTACACAAGCCAATGACTGTTTGTATAGCACTCAGCATAGAGATGGCTGATAATGACTGGAAAGAAATCGAACGGACGGAGCGCATGAAGGTAAGAACATTGCGTGACTCTGACACAACCGTTTACTGCACAATGCTCCCGATTGTTGCTATTGGTGATCGGTATTGCGTTCTTGTCATTTTCGACAAGCATGTTAATGTAGAGTGAGACAGTCGCGTCACTGTGTGTGTGTGTGTGTTTCTGTGCGTGTATGTGAGTTTGTGTTTCTGTGTGTGTGTGTGTGTGTGTGTGTGTTTGCATGTGTGTGTTTGTGTGTTTGCGTGTGTGTGCGTTTGTGTGTGTGTGTGCGTATGTTTGTGCGCGTGCTTGTGTGTGCGTGTGCTTGTGTGTGTTTGTTGGTGATTGCTTTCACATGACATTGTATTGCCTGTGTGTTAGGTATCGGGGAGCGAGGGTCACTTTGTGACACCGTTCAGCCTGGAGTGGTCATCAGATAGCGAAACAGTGGTGCGCATGAATCTGTACCAGGCTGTCAACAAGTCTGTGGGCAAGGATGAGGCAAGTGGATGGTGTATTGTTATGTACTGTGAAACTTGATATTACGTACCTGCGCGTGGAAATGTGTAACTGAGGTGCTCAATATTACGTACCTGCGCGTGGAAATGTGTAACTGAGGTACTCAATATTACGTACCTGCGCGTGGAAATGTGTAACTGAGGTGCTCAATATTACGTACCTGCGCGTGGAAATGTGTAACTGAGGTGCTCAATATTACGTACCTGCGCGTGAAAATGTGTAACTGAGGTGCTCAATATCCGAGGTAGAATATGCAGGGTACTAAAACATGTATTCGATATCCAATGCAAGGGGGAAAGTATGTTATCAGTGTCTGCTCTGGGATTTCTAACCAACCGGGATACACGTGTACCTGGCATAACTCGTCCATCCGGGTCAGAGCCGGGTGCGTTCAAGTAGGGATTTCAGTCACGTGATCTGCGTGGGCAAAAGTACCTTGACACGCATGCATGCTTTTTGAATGCCAGGCATGGCACATGTCAGCGCGGGGTCTTCGGCGTAGATTTTAGGTAGGGAGAGTGAGTTTATCGCCATTTTTATTGGCGCACCGTTGAAGAGTAGGTTTCAAGCTTTCGTTTGATGCCTCACACGGCGAATTCGTGCCGATATTACGCATCTCGATAGATTCTTGTAGATTTCAAAGTCGCTTTTGAGGTGTTTGCCTTGGTTCCACACTCAAGCATCAGTCAGAATCAGATTCTACGGCATCGATTTAGTCTAGGTAGGTTCCTTCAGACGGCATGAAGGGTCGCGATCGGTAGCGGAAATTGTTTTGAAGTTGAACGCCATTACACAGTATGGAGGTGGAGAAGAAAGACGATTGGCTTCCGCCTTCCTCTGTGTTCATGGTGTTGTCCCGGGCAGTAGTTGAACTCTCGTTGAGGGCGAGAAGCAAAAATTATACCAAGTAAGTTAGCATAATTTGATTTTGCTAGTTGCAGCCGTGGATGGAAAGGATTTCGAGACGATGTGAAAATTGCCAGGAACAAAATCGGGCGTATCAGACAGTGGAGGATTTTTTGCTGAAGAACAAGGCAAGTGACGACCTCAGTGAATTACTAAATCATCCTTTTGAACTGCCTCTCAATCAAATTGTAAAGCAGATAACCACACACTAAACGAAAAATCGTATCTTGTGTCTGATTCTTGTCCAAGAAAGAAACATTGAACTGCAAGGACAATTGTGGGCTGCAGGGATTGCAAATTGCATGGATTGTATAAGTTTGGAAAATTATATCAGTGTTATCAAATTTCCACACCTGAGCAGTCGTACGTGCTGAGGTGTGGACATTTGCAACAGTTCATGTCCATGCTGGACCAGCCGTTGATGACAGTGCTGAAGCAACAGTTGATGTTGATGCTGGCGCAGCAAATGATGGCGCTTTGGAGCCCGCACCCGGCATAGCAGGTCTTGACCCTGTGTGTGGCACCAGACTTGATCTTCCGTGTGTCATACAGGTGCGTGGTTGTTCCAGGCTGGTTTTTTACTGAACTTATCTCTTATAAATACTCACCGCTGGCTGGCTTCTGTGTACAATACTCAATAGCCTCTAGTATGATCGTTGTGCGGCTAATGACATTTTTATGTGCGTCTCTGACTCGTTGCAGCCGAAAATGGGCCCTGTGTGACATCAGAGCTTGCTGTCTACTCCTCTAGTTTCCCACATGCATACTATATATCTTAGATGTTGTGTTTGCCGCATTTCTGTCATATTCCACCTATTGCCATGTTGAATTATGCGTGAAATATACTGTTGCTAGGGCCGTTGCTAAGGACGCCATTGTTGCGGTCATTTGGAATTTTGAAAAAAAACTTTTATGTTCCGTTCCGTCACAGCCAGGGCCATCCTTGATCCAAGTTTGGCCACGATCGGATGAAGTTTATTTGTTGCTATGGTGTTGCTAGGGAGTATGGGTGCCATCCTGCAGATCCAATTTGTATGTGTGTTCATCAAGGTCGGTGCGCTATGTTTGAATGCTCATAACTTTGGAAATACTGCTTGGATTCCGTTCAAATTTTCTGTGGACAGTCCTTACACATAGATGCTTCAGAAAAACTTGTTAGTTGGAGCAAAGCGCTGCTCAGAAAAAAACCGCCTGAAATCCCTAGTTCAAGTGCGGCTAGCCTACTGCATAGATATCAGGGAGCTGTAAATGTTTTAGGACTGTATGCGTAGCATAATGTATACGGTATTTCCGCAAATAAAAGGCCGTCCTCGTATACAACGCCTTCCTCGTATACAAGGCCGGGGCAGGGGGCGATTGAAAAAATAAAAGACCGTCTCCGATTAGAAGACCGGGCCTACTAAATGAGTCTTTGTTCTTGTGTTAAAAATAGAAGACCGTGCTCAAACTGTGGGAAAAAATAGAAGACCGTGCTCAAACTGTGTAGAAGAAAATGGAAGAACGGGGGTAAAACTGTGTGGCGAGAAATAGAAGACCGGGGGGGTCAAACTGGGTTGAAAGAATAAAAGACCGTCCTCGAATACAAGACCGTCCTCGATTATAAGGTCGGGTTAGGATGAGGTTGAAAAAATAGTAGACCGGCCTACTATTTGTGGAAATACGGTACGTTGATTCGTTCAGTGCTCTGGGCAGGTTCTTGATGTCATACGGTCCGAGGAATACAGTTTTTGTGCAAGAACCGATGAACTTGCTCCATGAGCTCACAGTCAATGTGCAGCCAGGTTGAGAGCGTCGTCCAGTCAAACTCCTTGCTTTATGTCTGACTGGACGCCTCACTGGGGGTTTCCCCTCCACGTATGCAGCATTGCTGTGTAGTCGCTGGATGACACGCCATCAGTATCTTTAATCCACCGAGTGGTGATTGCTTCGAATGATGTGGCGGCGATCACCTGTCACTATACCAGGCATGCACAACTAAATCTTCACAGGAACGAGTCGCCAGACTTGTAAATTGTCGTAATTCTCTCTCCAGCAGGTCCTCCACACTGTTCTACCAGTGCACCAGTGAACATGCTCTTCTGTTCTAGACTGTGGAAGGCCTCATCTTACATGTATGATCACTGCATTGTTGTACCTGGGGTTTCTGTTGTGCAGGTGTGCAATATTGGCTGTGTGACGACCAGGGTTGGCGTGCTGGTTGGCGAATCCAAGTGTCGTCTTCAATTCTCACCAGCTGGAAAGTGAGTAATAGTTTCGAAAGTAGGGACCATTCGTGAGCAACTGCAAGAATCAAGAATCAAAGAATATAATTATCTACAGTGAAATACCTACGCTGTTGGCAATGGTAACTTTATCACTGGAAGTTGTGTTACTGCTGATCCAAAAGGCCGTTTCCTTGATTCATGTGTGTGTTCTGGTATTGAACCGTGTATCAGTGTGCTCCCATATGCATTTGGTATTATCAAGAGTACATAACCCCCAAGAGTGTGTCACTCCAGCTACGGGGTCTGCGACGTAGTGTCAGCCCAAATTTTCCGGCAATTCTTTTGGCATAATATCGAAACATTTTAGAAAAAGAATTGCCCGGCATATTTGGAGCATAATTTCGAATTTTTGGAGATTTTCACCGTGATTTCGCATTGTGAGGTCAATCTTCACACTTTAAAATGTGAACCCAGCAAAACCGAGCAAATTTCGATGTTTTTCAGAAATTTTCTCCAAAATTCGGTCCAAATTTGGCGTTTTTGAAGCTGTCATTGAGCATAATCAGAGCAAAATATTGTCTTCGCGAATTCGCCCGGAAATGCCAAGCATAATATCGAAAGAAGCGCAGCAAAATTATGCGGCATAATATCGAAAAGTCTCGAGCAAATTTGGGCTGACACTACTGCGACGGCAGAACTTCACATCACGTGATGAACCCGTACACATTATTTGCACTCTGTGCGTGATAGATACTGGGTTGTACGCAACCCAGCTTCGGGTACAACTCTCTTGTGGTCACTTTGCACTGTTTGCCAGCGTAACCTTTTGAACCATGTCACGTGATGTGAAGTTCTGCCGTCGCAGCACAGCATAGAGGTTGTGTAGGCAGTAGGCCTAGCCCAAATTTGCTCGGGGCGCTTCGATATTTTGCCGGCAAATTTTGCCCGATCACTTTCCATATTTTCCTCGGCATTGCCCTTCTTTTCCGATATTTTGCTCCGTTTTGCTCCTGCTTTGTGGCAAAAATGGCTTCGAATGAACCGTCTACTTTGGTAAAAGTGGATGGTGACTCTGAGGAAAGCAAAACTTATAATGGTGTTAGTATTCAGATTTTGTAGCATGATTTCAAATTTATGTACCCCTGACAACCTGCACGAGCTATTTCAGCACGACGTTGGCCCAATGAAACCAAAGAAATTTGAATAAAATTGCCAAAACACACCCGGATCCTCTGTAAATTCGATATTTTGCTCGGAATTTGCCAGCAATTTCTTTTCGTGGGAAATTTCGATATTTTGCTGGAAGCATTGCCGGCAAATTTGGGCTAGGCCTAGCAGGCAGTTGCACACTCTTGGGGGTTATGTACTCTTGGTTTTATCAAGAGTAGATAGACAAGAGTGTGCAACTCCGGGTCTCTCCTGCACAATCTGCAGATACCGCGGCCCACGGCGGAATTTTTTGTATTTGCGTCACCTTTTTTCGGAAAACGCGCCTTTTGCCGCAGAGCAGTGTGAGAGCACGTGCTGGGCACCGACCTTGTAATGTAAAGCCCGGCCAAGTGCACGAGGCAAAACTTTCCAAAAGACTCGCAGCGCGTGCGTCGTAGAAAAAGATTACATCAACAAAAAATTCCGCCATGGGCAAACTCATCCGCGAGCTGCACACTCTCGTTTATCTACTCTTGGTATTATGCAATGGACTCCTTCCATTCCGCAATCTAGCCTGCACGAATCCGGTGTGTTGTACGCGAGCAGAACATTTCCCTTCCGTCCTTTACCACTTCATGTGCCATTGTGTGCATTCTGGTCCGTTTGCAGACAGTCCAAGGCAGGAAACTTCGACTTTGTCTCACTCAGCTACAACAAGGTACGTGTACCGTAATGTCTTGTATTAAAGCCGGTCTCATATAGAAGCCTGTCTTGAATAGACGCCTGATTTTCAAGATACACTGTCTGCACATAAGCCTGGTTTTAGTGTTGACATACAGTCAACTTCGCTTATAACGACACTCGGCGGGGCATCGAAAAAGTGTCCTTATTCGCGAAGTGTCCTTATACCCGAAGTCTCATTATATGTATTCGAGTTGGAAGGGACTTTGCTCTGGGCATGGAAATGCTGTCGTTATTCGCGAATTGTCGTTATATCCGCAGTCGTTATTAGCCAAGTTGACTGTACATAGAAATACCTGTCTTGTATAGAAGCCTGCAAAACTTCCCCGAAATAGTCATATACGCCGAGGCCTTTGTACACGACTTTACGGTACATGACGATTGTGCAACATGACATCAGCTAAAGATGGCACTCTACTGTGTCTCTAGCACTAGCACTGTCGTCTAGAATAGACCTGTTGGCTGTTGTGTGCAACCACTGTCGTTAGGGGCCATCTGTCCTTTTAAAATCTGGTCATCTCAATATTGGGAAATGCCGAAAATACTACACCGCCGAAAATACTACACCGCCGAAAATTCCTTGTTTTACAGTACAGTGATAGCTGTGTTTGCCGGACCCTGTGCCAAGCGGATTCCTGTGTTGACCGGACGAATTTTCATGCGCCAAAGTGGCATGGATCGGACGTTCATCCCCGGATCAAGCGGAGCCCTGTCACGTCAGGACAGTTTCCGCTGCACCAAGGCTGTCCGGCCAGAGCAAGTTTTACTCTGCATGTACTTCTTATCCTATTAAAGATAGGTAAAAAAAAGAAAAGAAAAAAGGAGAAGGACAAAATGTTACGAGTTAGTACTAACTGTCCACCGACGTAACCAGATCATATACGTCAGCGAGTGCGACAAAATGGCACAAATGTCCTTCTCCTTTTTTTTACCATAATTCAATTGGCTCACCATCCGAGTTCAACTGTCCTAAGACACTTCAGTATTGATCAATACACGCATACTCCGGACACGATCCTTACCAAGCGAAACTTGCGGAAAGTATGTTTTTTTCAATATCAGAGTGCACTTGTATCTCTCTTGCCCGGGCGGTCCGGGACCTGGCACTGGCCAGAACACAGGGTGCCCAGTACACCGAGGACAGGTGCCCGGTAGACCGAGGACAGGTGCCCGTAACTTCCAGGTCTGGATAAAATAGATATGAGTGTACGTGCCACATATAAGTGTGTTCAACTTTACTTGGTACTATTTTTTCTAAGTAACTTCTGTGTGATACACGCATGGTGTGACTTTAAACCGAAGTCAACCCACATACAACCTTGCGTATAGTTGTGACAATCTCTAGCGATTTCCGTCTTTTCCACGCAGCCCGACGCGAGGCGCTGTGAGCCGCCGTCGTTCCAGATGCGCAAGCGCAGCGTGGTGTGTACGCACGGCCGTACGTCATCGCAGGCGCTCCTGGACGGCGAGGACCTATCCTGGCAGCGAGACCGCAGCTGGAACATCAAGCTGTCCGAGACACCAAACTGGTACGTACTGTATCTATTGTGTTACGAGTACAGTACAATCAGACCTCGCTTGTCCGGTCCTCTTTTATCCGGATCCCTCGCCATCCGGAAGAAAATTGTTGCTTTCCGATTTACAGCACATGTCATGCATACATACAGTAGGTGTGTTCGATTATCCGGTTCCCTCGCCTATCCGGACATGATATTTTTTTGTGGAAAACGGATGTGTGCGGTTATTCGAGGTCTAACTGTACTGTCAGTCGCCGAAGGACTGGGGACCAGCCTCCTAGCGTGGAACGTTCTTGTTTTCATGCACTACAGTCTATGCACAGTTGAGTCTCAGTCATCGTGTATACATTGCTATGCTGTGTTTGGTGAAAGTCTAGCCTGTTCGTTCTTCGGCGATCCGTTCGTCGGAGCCCGACAGTACTGTAATCCGTTGCATTGGTGCAGAATATACAGTTAGTGATATTGTTCAAAGTTCCTAGTCGTAAGGTTGATTAAAAACAGAGAGGTTCCAGGCTGTCCAAGAGAGTGCTCAATACAAAGAGGCAGAGCTAGTTCAAACAATAAGAGGACGGGGGAGGGGGGTTAACTCTGAGTTTCACGCACTAAGCGATCATCAGGTTGATTAGTATGGGTGGTAAAGACACACCTGGCAATATGGCTTGAACTTCATATTCCTAGTCGTAAGTTGAATCTAACTTCATCACATTTAGATTTGTTGCAGCTTCGAGTTTTACATCCACACACGCTCGCATAAGCGGTGGGTCCACACTGGTGCCGTTTTCTTGCTTGTTGTACGAGCATTGTTTCTCTGTTTGCCTTTCCTAACGCGTGTGGTGTTTCTAGGCTGGCGGTGAACAAGATAAACGAAGCCGTGTTCAGTGTGTCCACAAGGTCAGTGCGCTCATCCTGTGTGGCTTTGCCATGCTTGGCGGGTACCGTAAAAGCCCCTGTATACGCCCACTCGAAATTTCGCCCACCCTCCGTGTACACACCCAGTCAGGGGAAGTCAACACTTTTGTTTCAAAATAGCGCCCATGCCCATGTATACGCCCAGGTATGCCGCCAACACCAGTACATGTACAGGTACTGATACCCAATGCTTACTGCTATCCCTATTCCAAGTATACGCCCGGTTCCAAAATAACGCCCGTGCCCTTGTATACGCCCAGGAAATCAAGGCTGCTTTTCTATATGCCCGGGCCTAGACACGGGCTTTTACGGGTATTCTCACCATCTAGCATGCACAAGTAGCTGTCTGTGGCAGGTGAAGTCCACAATCCACGCCACTGCATGCGTGCAGTGCCGAAAACCAGATGACGACTATGATCTTGTCATAACTGTAGTCTTTTTGAAACCCAAACTGGTCCGTCGATTACCGTATTTCCCCGATTATGGCTCGCATTTGATTACAAGTCGCAGCCCGTTTTCAGGTCTGAGCCAAATTGTTTCAATACATTCACACAAATAGGAAGTCATACTCGATTGTAGGTCGCAACCCCTTCTTTGACCTTGAAGCTTCGTGTAAACGGGTGTGACTTACATTTGGGGAAATACGGTATATGCCCGAAAACTGATTTAATCGATCAGATATGAATTTCGCGTCACAGACCTGTAACTTTGCATTGGTTGACATCTAACCAAGAGTGCATAACCCCCGGGAGCGTGCAACTGCCGCATGCCCTGCTCAAGAGAGGCCTTTAGTCGAGACGGGCTTCTAATAGGGGTGAGTTACTACGGGAGTGGGATTTGTCACGAGATGTCACATTGTGCCCTCACAGGCCCCATAGACGAGAAGAGAGCTGCACACGCCTGCAGGTTATGTTCTCTGTATTAGAGGGAGCGATAGAAGATTCTACATACACAGTAAACCTAAGAAAGAGTTTGCTCCCCACACCGGAGCTCGCGCTATTCAGTAAAACCTGGTGTATTAAAGCGACCTCTGTGTTTAGCGACCACCTGCTCTTAACCACCGTTTTTCCACGCACCGACAGTTCGACACAGACACTGTGGGACCTGCTTCTGAAGACCGCCTGGCTTTAACGACCGCTTCTGCTTGCACCGTGGGGTGGTCACTTAAACCAGGTTTTACTGTATCACTGTAAAAGCCATTAGCATTCCGCGCACGCAGACGGCATGCAGGCAGGCATACATCATTAGCATTCCGCGCACACAGACGGCATGCAGACAGGCATACACCACACGAATAAGGCTAGGTTGTGTTGGGTAAGTACTGGTGACGAGGAACTGGTTGGTCTTTGCCGCAAGGTAGGCACGAGCCCGTGAGGCTGCGAGTGCCGCAGAAAGGCAGAAGCCCGGAGGCTGTGATTGCCGCAGGAAGGCAGAAGCCCGGAGGCTGTGATTGCCGCAATGGAAAGGCAGGACCATAAGGCCATAATGCCGCAATAGAAAGGCAGACCAGTTATGAGTGACTCGCCACCAGGTTTATTGTACTTGAAGTAGGAATGATGCAATGTAGTATTAATGGTTAGTGGTGGGATGGTGGGTCAGCAAAAGACAAAGGCAGCAGGATGCAAGTCGGGCATGAGCCAAAGCAGAGAAGACTCAAAACTGAGAATGGCAAGGAGATGTGCCACGTTGCGGACTCGGACCCGATCAAAACTAAATTAATTATTGTGATGGCGTACGCATAAATTAATGTGATGCACAGCAGGCGGTCTTGCCGGTCGCGGCAAGGCGCGCTAAACAAGTGCCGCGGCCAGAACCGTAGAGGGCGCTGTAGCGCAGCAGATACGTAGTTGCGAGATGTGCGCCTACGCTAAACTGAATTCATTACATGAATACATCATTAGCATTCCGCGCACGCAGACGGCATGCAGGCAGGCATACATCATTAGCATTCCGCGCACACAGACGGCATGCAGACAGGCATACACCACACGAATAAGGCTAGGTTGTGTTGGGTAAGTACTGGTGACGAGGAACTGGTTGGTCTTTGCCGCAAGGTAGGCACGAGCCCGTGAGGCTGCGAGTGCCGCAGAAAGGCAGAAGCCCGGAGGCTGTGATTGCCGCAGGAAGGCAGAAGCCCGGAGGCTGTGATTGCCGCAATGGAAAGGCAGGACCATAAGGCCATAATGCCGCAATAGAAAGGCAGACCAGTTATGAGTGACTCGCCATACCGCCAGTACATACCCATACACAACAGTATTGCAGTGCAGCATAGCATAGTTCATTATGAGGGAATTGTGTGAATTGAGAAACATCGGTGTCAGGGAGATGATCTTACTGAGGATAGTTTGCTGGCCAGCGTTCGGGCCGATGACGGTGGTGTCCGGATGTAGCGTAGGCATGCATCACTGCGCCACCGTCCCGCGGAGCGGATCTGGTGGTCGGGGACGCCAGCAAGGGCAGCAGTGGTAGCGGCCCCGATACGGAAGCTGTGGCCTGCATAGTCCTGCCAGTTTGCCACGCCGCTGGTGCTAAGCAGCGTGCGTACGTGGGCTGTAAAAGTGCTGCGGTTGAGGCGTTGCCCGTTGGCCAGGATGAACACAGCACTGCCTGGACGAGCAGAGGCGGTTGCAGTGAGGTAGGTGAGCATGGCTCTCACAGCGCAGTATGGCGGCACCGCTGGCCCGATCAGCACCGTCGTACCTTCCCCGGACGGGTCTGTCTTCGAGCGTGGTAGGTGCACATGGAGCATCCCTGACTCGAATGTCAAACAGCCGCGCGTGGTAGGTGCTTCTAGCAGTTCACCGCATCTGAAGAAACCAAAGAACACGGCAAGCATAGCGGCATGCAGGCAGCGCTTGTCGTGAGGGCACATGGCTGGAGCAGCTAGGCAGGTGTCAACCAGACTGCAGAGAATAGGAAACGTGATTGGCAGCCGGGGGCGGACAGCGGCTACTCCATGGCAACGGCAAATACCGCGTACCACTCGCTTGAGGAAGTGCGCGCCCTCGGTCGGGTCGACATAACCGAGCTCCAGGTGCAGGTTCTTGATAGCACTGAGGTAAACCTTAATAGTCACTGGTCTGACCGACTGGGTTAGGGAGGCAGCAAAACTACTCAGCATTAGGTCTGAAGCGGGAAACGGGGACCATCTTTGAAGTTGGCAGAACTTGAGATACTTAGATTCGCCGGCGGAATACGTTCGTCTGGTGTTGTCGGATAGAGCGTGAGCAGCATATCGTGCTGCTAATTCGTCCGCGGCAGTTAGAATGACTGGAACAGGTCGGCTGTCGCCCGAGCTCCCGGAACCGCCTCGCGAAACGCCTGCATGTTAAAACGAGACAGAGCATCAGCGGCTTTGTTAGTGCATCCTGGAATATGCTTTGCTGACAGAATGAAGCCAAAGTTAGCGCACATGAAGAACAGCCGTCGTATCAGGTCCATGACTGGGGGGGAGCGGCTACAACCATTGGACAGGCATGCCACTACGGCTTCGTTATCGCAGTACACGAGTATGCGGAGCTTGCGCCATTCAAGGCCCCAGGAGGAGCAAGCTGCGGCAATGGCGAACATCTCCTTCCACTCGATGGAGTAGTCGGCTTGTTCCGGCAACCACTGTCCCTGGATCCAGCGATGGCCATAACATGCGCCCCAGCCGATCGAACCGCTGGCATCGGTAAACAATTGGATGTCGGGAGACGGGGTCCAATTTGGCATATGAAAGAAGGACTTTCCGTTCCATTGCGAGAGGAGGCGTTGCCACCACTTCAGGTCTTCCAGGGCCTCGACTGAGAGTTTGATCTTATAGTGTGGCTGACTGTAGCGGTGACAAATATCCCAGAGTCGGCGCATGAATGTCCGACCAGGTATAATTACCCGAGCTGCGAAGGAGAGTTTTCCCAATAGTGAGTCGAGTTCGCGTTGGGTCATGTCGCCACGGTTGACATACTGGTCGAGCAAGGTGCGGAGATCTTGCAACTTGGTGTCTGGTAGCCGGGCCTCCAGTCTGCCACAGTCCAGCTCGATGCCCAGGAACGACAGCACTTGAGCTGGACCTTCCACTTTGTCAGGTGCCAAGGGGACTTGGACATAGTTAAAACAGCGAAGCAGGATTGAAGCACGTTGGTTCGCCACCAGCTCCGATGGAGAAATGCAAAGGAAATCATCTAGATAATGGAGCAGGTCAGTAATAGAAAACTCATAGCGAGCAATCCATTCAAGGCAGTCGGCAATAGAGTTAAAAATGGCAGGGCTGGAGCGTAAGCCAAAGGGGAGCACAGTGTCGAAATAATATTGGTTTTGCCAGTGAATACCTAGCAGAGGCCAGTCTTCCTGCCGCACAGGTACAATGCGGAAAGCACTCCGAATGTCAAGTTTGAAAAGATAAGCAGAACGACCGTACTGCATAATGGCATCGATCGCGTGATCAATAGTGATGTAATGCAAGCTGAAATCTTCACGTGAAATTCCATCGTTTACACTTTGACCCTCTGGGCTAGAGAGATGGTGGATTAAACGAAAGCGGCCGTTCTTTTTCGGAACGCAGCCAACACCGGAGCAATGAAAAAAAGGAAAAAGCGAGGAGGAAAAAGGACCTAGCAGTTCAAAGCGGGAGCAACATTCTTGCAGGTATTTGGTAATAAAATCGGGATGCATCCTCGCAGAAGGTAAGTTAGGGGAGAACATGCTGGTTTGGCGTGGGCCATTGAAGCCGATGTCAAAACCATACGTAAGGCCATGAAGTACATATTTAACAAAAGCTTGATCGGGGTGTGCACGCAGTAAGGAACGGAGGCGATTAACGTGAATAGGTGTGCGGCAAGTGTGAAAGAATGTAGGGTGTGTCCGGAGAATGCTACTATCGAGATGCAGTTCATTAAGCTTTGTTCTGCCGCTGGTTGCCAGTGGAGAAGCGACGCGGGCAGGAGGGGCGGGCATGTGCGCCCTCACATTGGGAGCAGACGTGGGCAAATTTACAGTCGGTGTTGGAGCATCGACCTTGCTGGAAATTCCGGCAGATCTCTTTGCCAGACTTGGTGTAGGCAGACCGTGGTGCAAACTGCTGGTTTGGTACTCGGGAGGCACGAAAAGGGCACTGGCTACCCGATGGAGGGTGAGTGATCCGGCATGTGCTACACTGCGGGCGTGAGCGGCCTGTCATTTTCAGTTGCCAGAGATTGCCGTCAATGGCGTCCCAACGCTTACTGGGGTCAAGAGAGATTGCCAGACGGAACTCCCGGTCATATTCGAGCCAGGCCTCCGGATAGTATGAGGAGTTGGCCGATACAATGGTGGCCTGATATGCCATCAGTTCGGAGAAACGGCTGGGTGCGTGCGAGCATAGTACGAACATATATCTGGACCAGGCTTCTAGCCATGTGACCAGGTCGTGAACATGCCTACGAACTTTCTCGACATGCCCGCCAGAGCTGGGATCCAGCAGCTCAACAGTCCTGGACCCACTGAAATTCAACTGAATCGTGTCACGCTTTGGTGCCCCAAGAGCTTCCGGTAACAGTGTATTCAAATCAACACACTCACCTCGCAAAATCCTCTCTCTCACGTGAGACGGCACGTTCAGTGGATGAGATAGAGAGCCAGCACCCGGACCAGTTGGCGCAGCATTTCCGGTGGGTACGGCCATGGCGGGGGAAGGCTGCGAGGATCCGATGGTGGCAAGCAGTGGGGAGACCGTTTCTGCCAGGGCGGCGGTGACGGCTTTCTGGACTTCGTCAGATATAAATTGCTTGAATTGTCCGCCGTCGAGTGGTGAGGCAGCGTTACTCGGCAGCTCGGGGTCCGCAGCCGAAGAAACAGGTGGGTCGGGAACAGGGCTAGGTGCTGCGCGACGGGTTCTCTTCCTGGTGCCCGACATGACTAGGCAATGACAGTTCGGTCAGCAAAAGACAAAGGCAGCAGGATGCAAGTCGGGCATGAGCCAAAGCGCAAAAGACAAAGGCAGCAGGATGCAAGTCGGGCATGAGCCAAAGCAGAGAAGACTCAAAACTGAGAATGGCAAGGAGATGTGCCACGTTGCGGACTCGGATCGGACCCGATCAAAACTAAATTAATTATTGTGATGGCGTACGCATAAATTAATGTGATGCACAGCAGGCGGTCTTGCCGGTCGCGGCAAGGCGCGCTAAACAAGTGCCGCGGCCAGAACCGTAGAGGGCGCTGTAGCGCAGCAGATACGTAGTTGCGAGATGTGCGCCTACGCTAAACTGAATTCATTACATGAATACATCATTATTCTAACGAGGCGCATATATAACGATTTCCCAAAATTGACTAGTTTACGTGTACCAAAGGTAACGATTCTCACTCATTCCCAAAGCTCAATAGGACAGTATATGTATCGATTTCTATTTTAACGACAGATTTCTCCTCGTTAACTCGTTAGAGTTAGCACTTCGTTATATATATGGCTTTAACAGTACCTAAAAAGCACGGACGTATGCAGTGTATGGGAAACATTGGGAAGGCAACAATAAGAATAAGAATGTCACAGCTTCGCATACTGACTTGGTGTACTAGTGTATGCCTATAGCCAAGCGTTCCGCTTCTGTTCCCTTGGAAAAGGAATGCTGGTTGCCTAATACTATATATTAAACACATTAACTTCATTAAACACCTTAATGTAATGTTAATACAGTCAACTTTGCGCATAATGACGCTCGGCGGGGCATCAGAAAAGTGTCCTTTTTCGCGAAGCGTCCTTATACCCGAAGTCTCATTATACATAATTATTACAATTACATGGGACTTTGCTCTTGGCATGGAAATTCTGTCGTTTATATTCGCAAATTGTCGTTATATCCGCAGTCGTTATTAGCCAAGTTGACTATACCCCTAAAACTACATGCAATACAGTCTCATCCTCACATTCGCCGCCGTCTCTCACACCACCTCGCTGTCTCCAAGCCCCGTCTTTCCTGTCGTTGTGCACGCGCGGCGTGGATCCGTTCTCCTGCACAGGTGTTCGGATAACATCGTGCGGCACGTGACCGATCCGTGCAACTACCCTATTAGGGAACTGCAAATTCGTAGCAGGTGTGTAAGGGTTCTATGGTGTAATGGTTAGCACTTTGGACTCTGAATCCAGCGATCCGAGTTCAAATCTCGGTAGAACCTTATTTTTTTCTTATTATTTTGTGGTAGTGTAGTTTGGAGGCGGTGAAAATAGTTTCGCAATCTGTACCTTCGTATGCAAAGACGCAAATCCACACAATCAAGTACTTCAGTAGACACTTCCTTTCATCTATCAAACGTTTTCTTTCCCTTCTCTTCAGGATAGTACAGGGAATGTTGGAAGTTTGGAAAAACTACATACCGGTGACTACCGTTAAGTACCGTTGATCCGCCCCCTCTCTAATTCCCGCCCCTGTCGATTTTCTACCTGTGAAGCGATCTCGGCGTATACAACGAAATACAATGTCGAGCCGACGCTTGCACTGCTGTACACAATATGTGCCAATCCAGGATGAAAATGTGCACAACTTAGCACATTGAGTCTGATCCTCCAAGCTGTTGTACATCGTACTGCACTTGACAGCCTTAATCTAATTCCCGCCCCCTGCCGAAAAACCAGCTGGGAAGCAACATGGCGTGGGATCGAATCTGCTCTCCTCACCTTCTACAAGAAGAACTGAGGCGGCTCACATCAATTTTGACAAACATTGTGTACCCCTCGTCACTACTAACAAAACTTATTAATAGCAAACCGATCAGGCAAGATCCGAAACCATTTGGACCGGACAGGTGCCCCGTGGTACTCCGCTTACCCTGGGTGGGTGCTGATTCTGCGCGCGTCAAGAAGGAGGTGCGCAGCATTGTCTGTTCGTCTTACCCTTGCGTGACGTTGTATGGAGTATTTGGAACGACGCTTGCGTTCGGTGTGAAGAAGGACGTTCTACCCACCCTTTGTAGAAGCAGTCTTATCTATTTTTTTAAGAGCCAAGAATGTGAAAATCGGTATGTAGGTAGAACCCTTCAGCACCTGGGCACACGCATCCGTCAACATGTGCCGTTAAGTCTGGTCTCTGTTGACGCTTGTGGTGCTCGTCCCTGTCGTGGTCATCCTCCAAAATATGCTGTGCTGAGTCTGATGCGGGAACGCCTTCATCTGCATCCAGTGTAGGTGTACGCATGTGCGCCTCTGCCTCAACGGGCAGGGAGCTTGGCCCATCTCAGACTAGCGTGAGGAAGCGTCTTTGCTTGCGAAGGTATAGATATCTTAACTATTATTTTGTAGATAAAGGGTTTTTTCAATATTCAAGGGCTCTACTGTAGAAAATTGCTGGTAGCTATCCCGCAAACATACCGCTGCCAATGCGGCAAGAGTAAATAAGCTTCGAAGAGTGTGCAATCATGGACATCCATTCTTGAAGTATGGGATCCGCCAACGGCGAAAACTCACGTCACATGGTGTACTGTTCACGTTGTAAATCGAGGTATGAAATTCCTATTGATGACCATCACAAGAAGAAAGGATTTATTGGTTTGAGGAAAAGAAGAAGAAAAGTTCTTGGGAGAACTAGCATGGACCTACTTTGCCTTGTGGTGGGCTCGGAGTCATGAGCACACAGATAATTCTTTACGCACTTGTGTATCTTGTTGTTCAAACCTCCTCTGGCTATACCACACTGCTGCTGTTTTTGCTCCAGCTCGCCGTCTGTGAAGCTCTCGATAACGGAACGCATGGGAGAGAGCTCGTTGACCTGGATCTTGCCTAGCCAGCTTATGTAAGTGCAGTCCGCAAGAACAAGTGCAGTACCACTTTAAACTGATCAGCTGGTTTCACTTTAAATTTTTGTTTTATACGGAGGTCCTTGTAGAGTGCCAATACCTTGCAAGAATTGCTCAATTCTGCTGAATAACGCTTGACATATACAGTAAGCACAAAGTAGTCCACTTGCAGACAATGTATTGGATTTTATTTATAGTGGTGACTATAACAGACAATTGCCTAATAACAATAGACCCACCCGAGGGAAAGATGTAAAAAGATCAGAATAATTTAAAATATTATAGACTAGACTACAATGGAGGTAGTGCATCTGTATTTGTCATGGTACAGTCAGACCTCGCATAACCGCACACATCCGTTTTCCACAAAATATCCAGATAGGCGAGGGAACCGGATAATCGAACACACATACTGTATGTAAGCATGGCATATGCTGTACATCTGGTACATTTGTAACCAACTATTTTCTTCCGGATGGCGAGGGATCCGGATAAACGAGGTCTGACTGTAGTACTCTAAGCCGCAGTGTCCTCAAGTAGGACGGCGGTGCATTCTGGGCGCGTATCTGCAGAGCGACTTTTCCGACAAAGTGTACAGTTTCTGGACTGGGGCAGGGACTTAGGTTTTCCTGAGCACTGCCAACAAGGAGAGTAGGCAGCTCTCCCACTTGAAGACGGATAGATCTTTCGCTTGTTACTTCAGAGTACAGTACGGATCGGCTATAGCGTTGGTGTTTGATTTTCGTGAAAATATCACTATAGGCGATATATTACTATAGGCGATATGCATACTTAGGTATGCCTGATAAATGCGTGTATGGTGTCATTCGAATCAGTGAAGCGTGCAGAAGCGTGCTGTGCATGTGACTGTGCAATACGCGCAGTGCAGAGCTACTTCCTGCGGAAACAAAAACTTCGTGACTTTTTGACATGAGTTTTCAAGGAGTTGCTGTGCTCAACAAATGTGTTCTTTTGGAAGAGAAACACTTCAACACATTCAATCGACATATCAACAATATGTACAGGATCGGTTAATGGGAGTAGAGTCTCAGTCTGGGTCGCCATCGCTCGACTCATCACCGCTGAAACCGTTCCAAGTGGCAGGTCGATCGACGCGTGATGTCGTATGTCACGGAGAAGCTTCTCTGCGTCCCTGATCGTCTTCGCTGTTACCTGAATGCCTTCTCCAACATCTCGGCGGAGACCACGGTAGTGCTTCAGCGCTGGTACTCATTACTGCCTCCGATCTCGCTCGAGGATGCCCTGAAACAACAAGCACAGCCAACGCCAAACATTTCGAATTTTCTCCGAGGGATATCATAGTCGTACCAGCGCTTCCTGGCTGCCGCGATCAGATCTCGCCATGTACGATGTATACTTTTTTTATGATCATCACTATAGCCGATGAAAAATGTATGCAATAAGATCATTTTGACAAAGAAATCGTATCATTATAGCCGATATATTACTATAGCCGATTATTACTATAGCCGATCCGATATGTATAGAAAGGGGTGGTTTACGAAAATGAATTTGAGAATACGATCACTATAAGAGGTATATTACTATAGCCGACAACCCTATAGCCGATCCGCACTGTATACGATCAATCTCTTTTTCGTTTCTGATGCTGTATGTTATCATGTACTTAAGGCTTTGGGAGTACCGGTGCTACCCATTCATCTTGACCATTGGTTTATTAGTTGTCGTTCTCTACTGTAATATCTCCATAGAACACAGTCTAGTCCGCATCCGATCTGTAGGCCTAGTGCCATTGCTTATCATGGTGATACGTAGGCTTGGTGTGTTGTCTAATGTACGCCGTCTATATATGGGTATCTTACTACTGTACTGTACTTTACTACTACTTTATCACACTGTTTATACTGGACGGAATTGTAGGTTATTATAATAGTTATATTGACTGAGCACAAAGAGGACTAAAGTAGAGGACTAGGGCAATTACAAGGAGAAGACAACTCGAAAGATTACCAGAAGAACAACTGTAAGAACTACTAAGAGAATCACACTGCGCAAGCGCAGCCTTCTGGTTATATCTAAAGTTATGGAGGTAAAAAGGGGTGCATGCAGTAAGTGGCAATAGGGTGAGCGGGAAAAGGGGTGCATGCAGTAAGTGGCAATAGGGTGAGCGGGAAAAGGGGTGCATGCAGTAAGGCTGTGTTTACATGAGAAATTTCAACCCGGGTCGAGTTCAGCCCGGGTTGAAAGTCTGTACGATAGACAAAAGAGGTGAGCGTTTACATGAAGACAGTTGACCCGGGTCAAATACTGATATGCCGCCAAAAGTCCACTTCTACAGTCCTGTATGGTCACGTGAATCCGTTCGCGCGAAATTTGCATCTGCAGTGCCGTTCAAACCTGGCTCGAGATACGCACAGAAGTACGTTTGTACGATTTTCTTGACCCGGTTTGATTTCAACCCTCCCCTTGGGGGGAGGGTTGAAATCAACCCGGGGCGAAATTTCAACCCGGGTCAAGCGCAATGCGTCATGTAAACGCGCCATTCATTTTGTGCGCATGGCGGGTTGAAATCTGACCCGGGCCGAACTCAACCCGGGTTGAAACGCTTCATGTAAACACAGCCTAAGTGGCAATAGGGCGAGCGGGAAAAGGGGTGCATGCAGTAAGTGGCAATAGGGTGAGCGGGAAAAGGGGTGCATGCAGTAAGTGGCAGGGTGAGCGGGAAAAGGGGTGCATGAATGTGTAGGGAGTGCATGAACGTGTGTAGGGGAGTGCTTGCGTACGGGAATGTGTACGGGGCTAAAGGACTCATGCAACAGGTGCTGTCCCGAGCCGAGTGTTGCCATGGCTACTGATGATGCCGACTGTACTCGTCTGTCCGTGTGGGCCGGCACACCACACACAGCGCCACGCACGCAACATACCAACACCGGACAATTTAACAACGCATGTAACACAATTCTTACTCAGACAACTCACACTCCGACACCAACTCCACGTCATCACGAAAACGGTTATACCTAGTGGAGGCAAGGGGCGGGGTGGGACGGGAGGTGGATTGTCAGTGTTTCGTCGTGCTCGCCGATCAGCGGCGAGCCCGGGCGATGTAGGCGGCCGATCGGACTCGCCGCCGTGGCCGCTGTTCCTGCCGCTGCGCCTGACGCTGCACCGGGCGTCGCCGGATGACACAGCGCGCATCCTCCTGCCGTCGCATCAGGGGACGGATGGGTTGGCGAGGAGGAGGAGGTGGTGGTGGTTCGCGGCCCGCGGCCGGAAGCATCTGCACCGTGATGGTACTGCATACCAGACAGAACACAGGGGAAGACACACAGCCACCCACAAACAAACCAGAACAGCAATGTATGGGTTAGAAGCCACAGAGGACGAACACTCTGCAGGAGACAGCGAGGACGAACGCTCGGCTGAAGAAGAATAGCTAAATATTATACGGGCACTGCAACAGCGAGGACGAACACTCGGCTGAAGAGGAATAGCTAAATATTACAGACACTGCAACAGCGAGGACGAGCACTCGGCTGAAGAGGAATAGTTAAATATTACACGGGCACTGCAACAGCGAGGACGAACACCCGGCTGAAGAGGAATAGTTAAATATTACGGACACTGCAACAGCGAGGACGAACACTCGGCTGAAGAGGAATAGCTAAATATTACAGACACTGCAACAGCGAGGACGAGCACTCGGCTGAAGAGGAATAGTTAAATATTACACGGGCACTGCAACAGCGAGGACGAACACCCGGCTGAAGAGGAATAGTTAAATATTACGGACACTGCAACAGCGAGGACGAACACTCGGCTGAAGAGGATGAGTTAATCTCAGGGTCGTGGGTTCGAGCCCCACGTTGGGCGCCAATGTTGTCTAATGCACGCCGTCTATATATGGGTATCATACTACTGTACTCTACTTTACTACTACTTGATCACACTGTTTATACTGGACGGAATTGTAGGTTATGATAACAGTTATATTGACTGAGCACAAAGAGAACTAAAGTAGAGGACTGGGGCAATTACAAGGAGAAGACAACTCGGAGGACTACCAGAAGAACAACTGTAAGAACTACTAGGAGAATCACACTGCGCAAGCGCAGCCTTCTGGTTATATCTAAAGTTATGGAGGTAAAAAGGGGTGCATGCAGTAAGTGGCAATAGGGTGAGCGGGAAAAGGGGTGCATGCAGTACGTGGCAATAGGGTGAGCGGGAAAAGGGGTGCATGCAGTAAGTGGCAATAGGGTGAGCGGGGAAAAGGGGTGCATGCAGTAAGTGGCAATAGGGTGAGTGGGAAAAGGGGTGCATGCAGTAAAGCGGGATTCACAGAAGCTTTTTTGCGATGTGACACGCGATGCGACAGGCGCGAAACCGGGAAAACCCCAAATCGCAGCCATGTCACACCCCACGCAACTGCCGCAACTGGGCCATCGCAGAAGTTGAGCTTGGCTCAACTTTTGCGATGCGATGCGATGGGACAAGCGATTTGGCGTACGATTTTGACCTTTTCTACAGCAAAGTTGTACAAAGGTTCAAGAGTTGCCTTTAAATTTGTACAAGTTGTATCAAACCACCCGAATATCATGGTGACGTAGCCAAATCAGCAAGATGTTGTCGCATGACTGACTTCTTCTGTGAATGGTATTTCGCGAGTTTGCATCGCACGCGTCCGTCGCAGATCGCGTCGCATCGCGTGTCGCATCGCAAAAAAGCTTCTGTGAATCCCGCTTAAGTGGCAATAGGGTGAGCGGGAAAAGGGGTGCATGCAGTAAGTGGCAATAGGGTGAGCGGGAAAAGGGGTGCATGCAGTAAGTGGCAATAGGGTGAGCGGGAAAAGGGGTGCATGCAGTAAGTGGCAATAGGGTGAGCGGGAAAAGGGGTGCATGCAGTAAGTGGCAGGGTGAGCGGGAAAAGGGGTGCATGAATGTGTAGGGAGTGCATGAACGTGTGTAGGGGAGTGCGTGCGTACGGGAATGTGTACGGGGCTAAAGGACTCATGCAACAGGTGCTGTCCCGAGCCGAGTGTTGCCATGGCTACTGATGATGCCGACTGCACTCGTCTGTCTGTGTGGGCGTGTGTGTGTGTGCGCGCGCGTGTGTGTGTGTGTGTGTGTGTGTGTTGCGCTGCAGAACTGTGTTCCGGGGGAATCTTCTATCGTGCATGTCGCTCCTGGGAACGTTACCACTGGTAAGTCGGCATTGCCGTGACTGCGATTGATTCTCGGTGCATCTTTCCGTCACTTCTGTAGTCTTGTTACGACTTGGCACAGCACACGATTGTAGTTCCAGTTTTCCAACTGTGTTTCCCCAGTCAACGAGAGTACCCGTCCGTCATGGTGCGGTTAGCTCAGTCAATCATGCGATCACGCATAGGGTGATGTGGGGCCGTTTGAGTCTTTGGCTGTGTTTACATGAGAATTTTTAACCCGGGTCGAGTTCAGCCCGGGTTGAAAGTCTGTACGACAGACAAAATAGGTGAGCGTTTACATGAAAACAGTTGACCCAGGTCGAATTCTGATATGCCGTCAAAAGTCCACTTCTAGAGTCCTGTGTAGTCACGTGAATCCTTTCGGGCGAAATGTGCATGTGCAGTGCTGTTCAAACGTGGCGCGACATACGCACAGAAGTACGTTTGTACGATTGTCGATCCTACATAACGTAAACCTCGGCATAACACACCCTACGGCGCGCTCGCCGACGTGCGCGCTCTCGATACAACCTAGGTTCACGGGCGCGGTACAATCAGGCTGTAGCCGTAGCTAGCCAGTTTAGTCCTATTGTGCATATATTCTGCGGTATTGATGGTATCTGATGTCGAGGTTGGTACAGTGTGTATGCGTTTGCACGGTTGAACCCGCCTTGTAATACCCTTCATTTCGAGATACATCTTGTATTTTGCACACGGTTTTCTGCATAACATATCTCTCGATATAACGATTTTTGCGTGGTCCCAGAGATTACGTTATATGGAGAGTAGACCTGTAGTGTGTGTAGTGTGTATGATTTTTGTGGCGTGTTTGGGCACAGTGTTCGACCATGGCGCTATGTATGAGCTTTAAGGGAATTTTAGGGAGATCAAACCATGGCTTGGCTCTCTGTTGTGGGATGCTTGTCGAGTGACTTTCTCCGCTCGCCCGTCTGATACTGTAAATTGAGAAACTTTCGCTAGAGATTAAATTTCGCTATTTTCGCGACCACCACACATTCGCGGATATAATGGACCGTATGCGTGTTAAAACAAAATGGCGTCACGATTTATTGAAAGTGGTATAGTTGGTGGTACGAGTGTTCAAACCCATTTGAACTTCATACTGTTCGTCTTCTTTTTGACATGCTCTCTTTCCATCGTCCTTAGCTTTTATTTGTTGAGAGCTGTTTTGGCTTTCTCCTATACCTCTGGGGGATGCCAAGTGATGGTTTTGAGAGGCTGGTGATGGCTGTGAGCGAGAGTTTGCCGATCGGCGTCGTCCTCGCTATAGCGATGAAAATACTAGTTACTGCGCACCTGGCAGATATCACAACACGTCGGAGCGTCCAGGAGCAAAGGAATCTTGGGTTTTCACTGGAATCTAGTACCTCCAGCATCGTGTAGCCCACCGTCGGTGAATGGCGGTCCAGAAAGGTCGAACCTGGTCTTCTGCAGCAGCTCGCAGTCCTGCGAGGCACACTGAATACGCCTGTCATGTATTCTACAAATAAAAATCACGAAGTAGTGGACTTTACAGTGATGAGTCTATCCTGTATGCTGCAAAAGACGCAGGAAATGTGACTGGTGTCCGTACACTGGACGCCAATATCATCCCAGTCTTCTCCTGCAGGATCTGTTTGACATTGACATACCGGTATGCAGTGGGTCGACATTGGCCTGGTTTGGCAGCTATCTGCCTGGGTGGATGTAGCAGGTTTGCATTGGCGCGTCGTCCAGTCCGACATTTTCTTGTAACTGCGGAGTACTGGCAGGGTTTGAGAGGTTGCTCGTGCTGTGAACACATCTCTACTGCCTGTCTCGTCCTGGAATTGCCGTCTCGCCGCTTCCTTGCTCTACAGTCACGCCGTTATTTCGCTTTGTTTCGTGGTGCAGCTCAAAACCTGCCCAAACAACTGTGAGCTCGCAACATGGTATGGACAAATTGCACCACTCATGCTGGTTAACTAAAACCGGGATAGTCGAGTAAGCGAGTTCACTCCCTGGGCCATGGCAAGATCTGTTCAGCGCGGGCTATTCCAACCTCCAAGTGCATAGTCACCGATCGATCCATGTGATGGTGGTTGACCTACAAAGAGCCAAGGTCTACGAGTACTACTATTGCCAGTATTGGATGCTGTCTACATGCAGTCAACAAAATCAAAGCACCTCAGTATGCCCCAGAATAGGGCATGTGCATCTATAGCATGACACAACAGGGGTTCTGGCGGCACCTGTCAAACAAGCAGTAGCGACTAGTGCCAGCTACCTATTGGAGGCTAGCCGCTACCTATTGGAGGCTAGCCGCTACAGTCTGTCACTGGAGATAATTATTATGTTCACTGTTTAGACTGAGCACAATCAATGATGCCCAATCAATCTGCCCAATGTGTGTTCTGTTCCACCTAATTATAACGTCCCATCGCATCAACCCTACTACACGCACATGTCGGCACTCTAGCACGACTTGAGTTATTATTGTTTATTTTGATTCGCACAATAAATAGAGCACAATAAACGTTAACTTGACCGAAGGTTAAAGGTGACTGCAGATAGAGGAACACATCGAGGTACAGGTACCGGCATCAATACAGTATCAGAGAGAAACAAACAAAAATGAGAGGTACGCAGAAAAAACTCCCGTAAGCCCAAGGGGAAGTGGTTGAAGACGGATGAATGCACTCTCCACGCTCATCTACACTGTTCGTGGAAATGCACACATACATACAACAATATACAACATAGCAATAGCATGCACAGAACCGAACAATTTCATGTTCACACATGCAAGCACAGACCTGAACATTAGTACCAAAAGCCGGTACAGACAATATCCCCATACACACAGACGCACACACAGACGCACACACACACACACACACACACACACACACACACACACACACAATGTCCCATGAATGCGCCCGTGGCAAGAAAAGCACGCAAATCTACAAATGCACTGAATGTGAACCCACAGATTTTCTCTTATAGCAACGATAGCGGATCTGATTCTGAATGAAACACACACACAATACAATCATTGAATGCCCATCCGCAGATGATGGCAGGTCCTGAAAGAACAGGCAGTGTTCCAGTGATGGGGAACAGAACTTCGAGTGGCGAGTGAGGTATACACACACACACGTGAGTGCGCGGGCACACACTAAAGTATTCAGAAATAGAATCGACGTCGTAGTATTCATTGGTTGGGGAATGGAAAGGAAAATAAAACATTGCTGTAGGTTATTGTTGTAAGGACACTGGGAGCACAACAGAAAGGTAAGCAACTTGCTTTGAAGCAAAGAAAGTTATTATTCCACGGATCTCAGAAGGAAGGAACGTTCCAGAATGCTGCACTGGCAACAGGCGGCCTGCATGTGCGCGGCCCCTGCAGTCGGTCCAGCTGCCGGCCTTGCAGTGCTGAAAAGAATGTGCAGTACAGCATGTCACATAGTATCGCAGCCTGGACAAATAGGAGCTGGGAAGTCCTAGTTATGTGCTCACCTACACCACGATGCACCAATCTTCTGAGCTACTTTGGCAACAACTTTGTCCACTTGAGACTCCCATGGGCTGAGCCAGTTGTTGAGGGCTGCACCAAGGTGGACGGCAATGACCGCTGATGGCAAGGCAATCCATGACACACAGTCACTAGGGCATCGTCAACATGGCGCTGAGGCTGGATCGATAAAATCAACCTTTAGGCTGCCGCGGGGTTGACAACGAGGCCGCTGTCTCGAAGCTAGTCAGTCAGCCTGGTCACCGCCATTGACGAACCAGTCGCCACCGCCAGCAGTGGCGGTAGGTTGTGACAAGTGTGGTGCAATATTGTCAGCAAATTCAGTACTCAGGATAAGATGAGTGACAAAGGGAACGTTGTGTTTGATAATATTGAAGTGAACAGGGATGATCACAAACCCTGCGCGTACTCCACCGTGAGTTACAAGAAAATTCCGGACTGGACGACGAGCAAACACCAACCTGCTACATCCAACCAGGCAGATACTATTACGATAGCTGCCAAACCAGGTCAATGCCGACCTACTGCATAATGTCAATGTCAAACAGATCCTGCAGGAGAAGACTGGGGTGTTGGCGTCCAGTCACTGAGTGTACAGACACCTGTCACATTTCCTGCGTCTTTTGCAGCATACAGGATAGACTCATCACTGTAAAGTCCACTACTTCGTGATTTTTATTTGTAGAATACATGACAGGCGTATTCAGTGTGCCTCGCAGGACTGCGAGCTGCTGCAGAAGACCAGGTTCGACCTTTCTGGACCGCCATTCACCGACGGTGGGCTACACGATGCTGGAGGTACTAGATTCCAGTGAAAACCCAAGATTCCTTTGCTCCTGGACGCTCCGACGTGTTGTGATATCTGCCAGGTGCGCAGTAACTAGTATTTTCATCGCTATAGCGAGGACGACGCCGATCGGCAAACTCTCGCTCACAGCCATCACCAGCCTCTCAAAACCATCACTTGGCATCCCCCAGAGGTATAGGAGAAAGCCAAAACAGCTCTCAACAAACAAAAGCTAAGGACGATGGAAAGAGAGCATGTCAAAAAGAAGACGAACAGTATGAAGTTCAAATGGTTTTGAACACTCGTACCACCAACTATACCACTTTCAATAAATCGTGACGCCATTTTGTTTTAACATGAATATCGCGGATTCGCCACGAACCTCTCCGTACATTGATTGTAGACAGTGCAATATCCGACTGAAGAGATAGAATCGCAAACGTTTCTCATCGTGAATCAGCCCAATCTATGAAAACGCTAAATTTGCGCGCCGCGAAATTTTGTCGCTTTACAGTGTCTTGCACATCATGCTTGTTGCCTGCAGCTTCGAGACGACCTGGAGCCGGTGCGCACCTCTCTGATGAACGCTTTCGAGACAATGGCGTCGTTCTACAGCACGGCGAGTTGTCACGCTATGGCCACCTTCTGTGAGTGCTATCCCGCTGATATGTACAGTGGTACTGCTCACTGATGACATCCAGTCGCGTCACTCGAGTACGCGCCGCGAGTTGCGCAGCCCTAGACCTGCGAACACTGGGCTGGGCAGTGGTGCGAGGCGCAGACTTGAGTGACGCGACTGGATTTCATTGGGCAGCATTATACTTATATGTACAGTGATACTTCATAGTTTATTTTGGTTTGCGTGCTATTTTGGGTTGTTGTCTGGACAAGCGATGTTGCGTTGGTAATTTGAGTGCAAGCCAGCCCGATTGCTTTGCTGTGCTCCTGCCCGCTTGCATGATCTAGGGAACATTTACGGTGAAGCCTGTCCAAGCCGACCGCTCACTGGACCCCAGAATATGGTCCCCGTGTACGGGTGGTCCCCTTATCCAGGGAAATGTTACAGGACTTGACACCCTTTGGTCCTGAATTTTGTGATCCTCTAGGTCAGGTGGTAACCTTATCAGAGCGGTGGCCTTGATAGGTTTTACTCTACGTTTATGGCTCTCGGTTGCCATGCCTTGAATTTTGTCACATGCCTTTCGTTTTTATTCCTGTACAGCGAAACACGAGATAACGTTCAAACAGAGCACGCAAAAGAGCAGGGAGAACGTCGAATTCATTGGGACCAACTTGCACGTGCAGCGCCTGTGTGTGTCGAGACAGCTCAGTACAACAAGCCAGCCCACATCTCAAAACACTGAGGAGCAATCTAGCGCGTCCAGCCCTCCTCGCCGTAAAAACGTTGAAGAGCCTCCCTTGGAAGAGAGGGCTAGTTTTCGGCGAGCATTCCGCTTTTTGAAGCGATCGTCGGCAGTTGGCCTGTCATCCTCGCCAGCAGCGTCACCCAAAGGCTCGCCGGGTAATGTTGTTTTACGTCATGGCACGTGTGTGTGTGTACGTGTGTGTGTACGTGCGTGTGTGTGTGTGTGATTGTGGAGGTGGAGATGGGCATTTCATTTGCGTGGCCAGCAGCAGGGCTGTCGACCGTAGTAAAGGGTGTGAACAAGGAAAGCCCTCCCCCTCCTCCCCCCCCCCCCCCTCTCTCTCTCTCTCTCTCTCTCTCTCTCTTTCTCTCTCTCACTCTCTCTCTCCTGTCTCTCTCTCTCTCTTCACTCACTCACTCTCTCTCTCTCTCACTCTCTCTCTCTCTCTCTCTCTCTCTCTCTCTCTCTCTCTCTCTCTCGGTATTGATCTTGTTTCCTCTGTGTTTTTACAGTATTGCAAACCCCTGGTGAAGACATTGAGAGAAAGGAAAATGTCGTCGAGAAGAAGGAAGGTGAGTTCTGACTTTCAGCCAAATATTGGGGATTCCCCTGATTTTTGAATTGGAAGCTTTTTAACCATTGAACAGTTTATGTTAGATTATGCCTGCCTAGTTGGGTTCATTTAGCACCTTGTGTCTTTTTAATGTACGTTCAAGTACACGTATGTATCTGGGCATCGCTTGCACATTTGCAGCATTCAAAAACTTGAATGTAATGCGAGTGAGTTGGCATAATCGTGTGAAAGCGTCAACATTAACCCAAGTCGCTCAGGAGAAGTGTGCCACTTGGTCCTCAGTGCTGCCATGCACTGTAAAGTGAGAAACTTTCCTTACAGATTAAATTCCGCTATTTTCGCGATGATCACACAGTTGTGAGTATAAAATACTATAAATTGCCACAATTGCTCTTTGCATTGCTCTGGCCAATTCAAAAATCCGACTGACCAGATGCAATTGCGAAAGATTCTCATCGTGACCCAGTAAAGTCCAGTTCTTAGAAACTCAAAAATCTACATGCGACGAAAGTTTCTCGTATTGAAGTAATGTTAAGGAGCAGTCCAGCTCATTGCAGGGTACTGCGATGGGTATGAATCGTTCCTAGGCACATACGGAGAGAGGTATGAAGTCTCTAAGCCAAGACTAGATTATAGGGCCCGGGTAGCTATGGCAACTATGGATGATGAGCGCATATGCAAGCTACCCAGGCCAGCGGAAAATACGGTGTGACACGGGAAATACAGGAACATGTGACCTACTGCTTCGGGGTTGCTGGACAAGGAGTCATTCAGGGACGGGGCGGGGGCTATGTGTACGGGGTGCATGGTACATGCGTTTGACGGGATACAGGAGGCCAGTTAGGTGCGGGGTTCCTGGAGTGCAGGGTGCATACGGAGGAGCAATACACGGAGAGTGGGGCCTGACAGTACAGTATAGTAGTGTGGATAGTGGAGGTGAGAAAGTGGCAGGATATGCACACTGCGAGGCACAGTCCGAGTGCCCACTATGTTCTCTAGACTACGGCCCCTCCTGTGTTCCGTTGGTCAGCGGTGTCTCTCTTGCCTTTCGTTTCTGGATTCGTGCATGTGTGTGTGCGTGTGTTTGTGTGTTTGTGTGTGTGTGTGCGTGTGTGTGTGTGTGCGTGTGTGTGTGTGTGTGTGTGTGTGTGTGTGTGTGCGTGTATGTGCACTATAACTATGTTAGACAATGCCTGTCTGAATAAAGTGTACACGGAACTGGCACCGCAGCTGGATAATGGTAAGTCCAACACTCGCGCTGTTCCAACTCTTCGGCTTGCTATGTTGTACCCAGGGAGTCGTACTCAAACTAGGGAGGTGACACGGCACAGAAATCCGTGTCACAGGGGTTGACTCGCACCCGTGACCCCTCGTTGTTATTTTTGGAATAGTTCAGTCCAGTCCAGTCCGAAAGGTCATACTCGGATCGACTCGCCTTCTGTACTTCACCTCCAAGCGTGCCGCATGGGTGTCTAGTTTTTGAAATTATTGAGGCAGCACATTTCGTTTACAGCCCATCACTCGCCAGTATTCTTTGAAAGACTACCAGCATTTTTTTTACCTCCTGCCATGTCCGAACTACTTGATAGCAGTGATGGCAACAGCAGCAGTTATGAAACGGCGTGTAGTGTTGCGGTAACTTTACAGAGTCGTATCCTAGGTTAATCCGAATACTAAAAATTGACCCAAATTGCACATAACACGAAGCTGGTTTTTGAAAATTGTAAGTCGTGTATCTGCCCCATTTCTTCTTTATGACTTGCACAATACACCAGTCTTCCTAAACAACACATTTATAGCAGGGGTTAAGTACCATATAAGAGAAGTACAGCCAGTGATATTGTCATGTCTAAATACTACAATTTTGACACAAATTACACATAACACGAAGCCAGGTTTTGAAAATTGTAAGTCGTGTATCTGCCCCATTTCTTCTTTATGACTTGCACAATGGTCCAGTCTGCCTAAATAACACATTTATAGCAGGGGTTATGTACCATATTAGAGAAGTACAGCCAATGATATTGCCATGTCTAAATACTACAATTTTGACACAAATTACACATAACACGAAGCTGGTTTTTGAAAATTGTAAGTCGTGTATCTGCCCCATTTCTTCTTTATGACTTGCACAATACACCAGTCTTCCTAAATAACACATTTATAGCAGGGGTTAAGTACCATACAAGAGAGCTACATTGTACATCTAGTCATACTGTCATAAACAGCCAGCATTTTTCCTGCAGCAGTCACACCACCATCATCATTATTTCCAGGGAAATCCTCTTACATTGTCAGCTCCTACGTCGTTAGATACAATAGGGGGCTGTAGGACCGGCTCGTCAAAAATAGAGAACCTGAACAAGCGTGCTCGGGACGTCTGAGCAATCGTAGTATGCCTGAGCACTCCAATAAAAACTTGATCAATGGCAAAATCGTTCGCCACAGAAAAATCATACTTTGCGGGTCTTGCGTTGCACGCTTGGAGGTGAAGTACAGAAGGCGAGTCGATCCGAGTATGACCTTTCGGACTGGACTGGACTGAACTATTCCAAAAATAACAACGAGGGGTCACGGGTGCGAGTCAACCCCTGTGACACGGATTTCTGTGCCGTGTCACCTCCCTAGTTTGAGTACGACTCCCTGGTTGTACCTGTAGAGGGTTCAATTAGGCGAAGCCATTAATATGCTCACTAAGAATCTGCTGTTGTTGTCCCAATGTATTCCTAGCCTAACGTACTATGCTTTCCTGGGTTTGAATTCCACCGATGTTCAGTCAACCATGTGAAAACCGACCTCGGGTATAACAACAACTCACGAATAACGACATTCAAACCTAGTGACCCTGTGACTACGTACCTGTACTTCCAGCTTCGCCGATAACAACATGTTTCTCATGCTCGATCGGGGGGGGGGGGGGGGTGTTATTTGCAAGGTTGACTGTAAATGCTGCCGCACTGGTGTGGACGGTGGCGTTCCTTGCGAGAACAAAAGTCTCATCAAATGGTTTGATTCGCACTCCTCACTCTGATGATCCTCTTTTGGTGAAACCGTTTAGTCTTAACAAAATGCAATCTGTGCCTCGTTTGTTACTGTGTCGGTTGGTTGCATGCATAATTCAACCTCTGTTCAACATAGTTAGTAGTTAGTAGATCTGCCGGGGTACTGGTGTGCACTGTAGTCGTGCCTGCAGTGAAACTTCTGTTTTGAGCCGAAATCATTTCGAGTACACACAGTCCACCATCTTAGTCTTATTCCGTGACTGTTGGGTGGGCTGGTGGTGTGTTGGGCGCTGCGCACACTGGTGACACATGAATTATGCACTGCCCATCAGTTCAGTATGGCCCTGATACCTATGTGTATGGGTGTGTGTGCACACACATCACCACTGCATTCGACTTGAAGAACAACGGCACAAAAGGACTCATCGAAACTTTTAGTGGCTTCTGTGCTTCATGTGTTAGTTACCTGTAGTTTGCCTCCAACCGAAAACCTATACACTTGTGTATGTGTGTGTGTGTGTGTGTGTGTGTGTGTGTGTGTGTGTGTGTGTGTGTGTGTGTGTGTGTGTGTGTGTGCGTGTGTGTGTGCGCGTGCGTGTTCGGTCTTGCCCGCAGGAGCCCACGATGTCGTCACAGTCGGTGCACCATCCGCCCACTCTCTGCGCTTCAAGGGTGGGGGTCTCCATCGACTACTGGCTAGCTCTAACCCGGCACACCTACGGCAGGTCAAGCTCTTCCGGGAATGTCAAGGTACAGAGGACTCTGCAAACACACACACACACACACACACACACACACACACACACACACACACACACACACCTCAGACATGCCCAACGCGGAAGCGATGATAGCGAACAGCTATGTTAGACATAGCAACTTGTGCTGGGATTACAATATTCAACAGCTCGCAAGGCTGATGAATTGACCGCCACTATTTTTAGCCTGGTATCCACCACACAGCTGTTTGAAGTGACTTTTTCTGGCCAGTGAATCCCTATTTTCCATTTTTCCATTTCACACACACACACAGACACACACACACACACACACACACACACACACACACACACACACACACACACACATACATGCATACACACACACACACCTTCCTTCCTTCCTTCCTTCTTCTCCACTGCCATGACTGGCTAAGTGGCTCCATACGGGGCAGCTCTTGGATTAGCGCTGTCTCCGGGAAGCGGCACCAGGACCCGACGACTGACGTGACGGCGCATTCCCACGGGTTATAATTGCTATTGAACGCCGCGATGTACAACGATGCCGTGCGATATCCTGACGGCGGCGGAAACTGCGGTTGCACACACCGCAAAGCAGAGGCTTGGCGACAGGCTCTTGACGGGCAAGTACAATACGATCCACCCCATCAAGGCACTGGGACTTCCACTCATGGCGATTACTTGCCACGTCGAGCCAGGAATTGGGCTCAATGCCAATTGCCGCCAGGTCGGTCCGCACCACGTCCTTCCATCGCTTCCTCGGACCATGGGGCGGGCGCTTCGATGGCAAGGAGCCAAACAACAGCTGACGAGGGATGCGGTCGCCCCTCGGCATACGTGCCATATGGCCCAGCCACTGCAGCCGCCGCCTGCGAATCTTGTCAGCCGGCTGCTCCAAGTCGCCCCACCATTTCCGCACCTGCAAATTGGAGATGTGCTCATCAATCTGGCGTGCACGACCGATGTGCAAGATCATCCTCAAGCACTGATGGTGAAACACGTCAAGCCGCTGCAGGTCCCTTTGCCGTGTTGTCCAAGTCTCAGAACCATACAGGAGGACAGCCAGAACAGTGACGCCATAGACTACACGCTTGATGCCGATGGTGAAGTCCGAGTTGTAGAACACTGCATCCTTCAAACTGTGGAAAGCGCCCGATGCAGCAGCAATCCTACGCGACACATCATAGGTACACCTGGCATCCGGTGTCACATGGCATCCAAGATAACGAAAGGAGTGCACGTGCTCCACCGTGCCGTTTAAAGGTGCCATGTCCTCGTTCACCACCCCAGTCCCAATAGCCATGAACTTTGTCTTGGCCATGTTAACCTTGAGCCCAAAGGCAGAAGCAGTAGTCTCAAACCCAGCGAGTGCTCTCTCTGCACCGGGGTGAGTCTTGGCAAGAAGTGCAGTCATCCGCAAACTGGCATTCCGTTAGTGGAGCCCTGGTGTATGCTCGGAGACGCGTGTTGAACAGTCTGTCCTGACGAAACTGACAAATTGATAGTCCAATCTCGTCGTCACCAGCTATTGCTTCATGCCATTTCTCGACAACAGCAAGCATGTACAAATTGAAAAGAATCGGGGCCATGGTGCATCCTTGACGCAGTCCGTTCCCCACCGCAATCGGCTCCAACAGCTCGCCACCAATGCGTATAGATGCTGACATGTCGACATGGAACGATCGAATTACGGAAACCAGCACCTCTGGTACGCCAAGCTTTGCAAGCACCCTCCACAAGGCGGCCCGCGGCACCGAGTCATAGGCCTTTCGGAGGTCAATGAATACTGCGAATCCCTTGGAAGAATGCTCATGCAACTTCTCCGCGACTTGCCGAACAGAGAATACCATATCCGAGCAGCCCCTGCCTCTGCGAAAACCGCACTGAGAATCAGGCAGATACTGTTCCCCAACACGCTGCAGACGGTCCGCTATAAGCCGTGCAGCAAGCTTGCCAACCACGTCGAGAAGGGCAATCCCGCGCCAGTTATCAGTCAGACTCAGATCACCCTTCTTGGGGATAGGGACCAGGATGGCATCCACCCAATCCTGCGGTACTCGACCAGCCCGCCATACCTCCTCCAGCAATGCCTGCAGCTTACCCAGTAGAACAGGACCACCATACTTCAGCATCTCGGCAAAGACTTCAGAGCTACCACAAGCTTTGCCGTTCTTCAGTGCTTGCATGGCCTTACGAATCTCCACACGGTCGGGAACATCCGCAAGCTCCCCCAAGACCGGACGCTGGTGAATAGAGTCGAGGGTTTCCACGTCAAAGTCGCTGACGATATTCACACACACACACACACACACACACACACACACACACACACACACACACACACACACACACACACACACACACACACACACACACACACACACACACACACACACACACACACACACACACACACACACACACACACACACACACACACACACACACACACACACACACACACACACACACACACACACACACACACACACACACACACACACACACACACACACACACACACACACACACACACACACACACACACACACACACACACACACACACACACACACACACACACACACACACACACACACACACACATATACACACACACACATACATACAAACATACATACACACACACATACATACACATACACACACACACACATACATACACCCCGTCTGTAGTTGGTCATCGGTCGCCATTACCGGTATTCGTGATTTTGGTCGCCGCCATAGAACAAGCAGAGGGCTATGACAGCTGACTCTCTGCCGATGTTTGTATGTGTGTGTGTGTGTGTGTGTGTGTGTGTGTGTGTGTGTGTGTGTGTGTGTGTGTGTGTGTGTGTGTGTGTGTGTGTGTGTGTGTATGTACATGTATGTGTGTGCTCAGAGCTTGCTCATGCCCTACAGACCAAGATGATGACAGTTCAGAAGATCATGAAGGATGCGGTGGCACAAGCTAACCTCGTCACCATCATACCTGTACTGCACACGGTGCAGTCTACGGTGAGAACATCTCCTTTTCTCTTCTGTGTCCTTTTCTTGTTCACGTGTGTTCATTGTATTGATGTGGGTGGGCGTGTGTGTGTGTGGGGGGGGGGGGATGTGGGTGTTCTTGTGTGTGTGTGTGTTTGGGGGGGGGGGGGGCGGAGGGTGGTGTGGGTGTGGGTGTTCTTGTGTGTGTGTACGTGTGTGTACGTGCGTGTGTGTGTGTGTATGTGTGTGTGGAGGGGGGGGGGTGGATGTGGGTGTTCTTGTGTGTGTGTGTGTGTGTGTGTGTGTGTGTATCACTATACATACAGTGGAGATTGGATATAAGGACCTTGGGTATAACGACAAATCGAGTTTTGCGACAAAATTCTGCTGCCCAAATCGTTTAGCAAGTCCTTTCTGTACATTATAGATCGGGTAGAACGACCTCGAAAATAACGACAGATCGGATTTACTGACACTTCTTTGGTGCCCCGAAGACCTGAAAATGCATTGAATATAGCGACCTCTCGTATCAGGCGGGGGTGGCATGCATCGGACATGTCTGTGTCACATGCCCGGACCTCTGGGTCACTCCACGCGTGCTGGTCATTTATTGCAAATTGCAGCCGCAGTGCAGCGGTGTAGTGGCTATGCATGACTTTTGGCTTGAACTATGCACGCAAGCTGTGTACATGTACAAGGTGCATACACGTCTGAAATCCATTATGCATTATATCACGCACATGCACATCTGCAATACATTTCTGTCATACATATTGCATACTGAAATGTGAAGATCGGGTTTAGTGACAGATCAAATATAGCGACATTTTGTTTTCTCCGAAGGAGTGTCGTTATATCCAATCTCCAATGTATACTCTTACATGTGTGTACCCACTTGTCTGTCTGCTGCAGATTGAAGATACGGAGCAGCTTGGTCGGTTAGTCAGGTCTGCACACACTGACTTGGACAGCTCACTTGCCTTCCCAGCTCAAGACGCCTGCGAAGGTCTGTACAGGAATTTACGACTTTAGTTTTTTCCCGAAGCTATGCAAAAGGCGTTACTTAGTAGCGTCTGACACTAGCCAGGGTCCTCCACGCTTTAGTTCGTGTCCGTGTGTGTGTGTGTGGGGGGGGGGGGGGGCTGACAGACCGTTGTGATAATTTCCAAATTGTTAGAATACAGATAGCCGACTACAGATAGCCGCACAATTAAAACCAATATTGATTTCTGCCGGGGAAACGGTCTGGTTGGGACCTAATCGACATACACAATCATGCACCGTCACACGGTTCCTGTACTCCAGTGGTTTGACCATAAGTGGACCTAAGATACACACGACGACTGTCCTTCACCAGACTGTACGAGTCTCGTACTCCAGTACTTTGACGATACATGGTTCAAAGATGCGCGCTGCTATTGTACTGTATATGTACTGTATATCTACAATGTACTCCACTTCTTTGATGATAGTGGCTCAAGGATACTACTACACAATGTCCGTACACGGACTCACTGCCATGCCCCGGTCGAGGTACTTTCTTCATTGCCCAATAGACCTGTTTGACACCTATCACATGGCCATACAGAGCAGCCATGCTGCTCTGAACTCCACTCAACCCATTGCATCTATGGGTCACATGATGTCGGCCATGTTGGGTTCCACTGTGCACATACCTTGATCAATTTCTATACAAAAAAAAATTGTCACATGACAAAGCTGTGAAGCCCGTCTATAACGTTCCTGTCCATGTTGTCTCAACCCTGCGCTGCAGATATGGAGGTTCGTGCCCATTTCGAAGCAGCAATTCTACCTGTCATCACTGGCGAGATTGTACAAGTGGTTCTGAATGGTAAGGTCTGGATGAATGCTGCCACATGTACTAGTACAAGTACTTATGATCTTGGCTCCCACAGCCTTTGGTCAATCCTTAAAATTAATATGAATCCATCAATCAATTTTAAAATCTTCTTCTTGTTCTCTTTTTGGATTCATGTACTACAGTAGACTGATAGTTGACCTGTGTTTGACAAGTGTCATCTTCCAGTGTTGTTAAATCTTTTGTTTGCGTAACACCCGTGTCCCTCTTACGGTCTCTCTCTCTCTCTCTCTCTCTCTCTCTTCCCTCTCTCTCTCTCTCTCTCTCTCTCTCTCTCTCTCTCTCTCTCTCTCTCTCTCTCTCTCTCTCTCTCTCTCTCTCTCTCTCTTTCTCTCTCTCTTCTTCTCTCCGTGTGGGTGTGTGCATCGTTCTTTCAGATTCCGACTCTTTGAGAGCTCTGCAAATCAAGATCAACTCCTTCTTTGATCTGTGGCAATCTTCCCTGCACCATCTCCGCAGCTCTGTAGCTTTTCTCATGCTGAAAGTAAGAACTGGAAAGACATTGACAGATCTGAATGCAACATAAAATCTGCTGTTTGGTTACTTTTTTGGTGTCTGTTGTCGCTACCAGCCTTACTGTCTGGCTGACTTTGTCACTGCTTGCTTCAGTTGCAACTTGTCACACAGGGAACAATGACGTTAAATTCGCAACTATGAAAGTGATCACTACATTGTAGTATAATTATAATTATGAAGAAGCCTTGCTTGGTAGTTAAACATGTTTTTCGATCTGGACAGCATGTTAGGGGTCGTCCACAATTATCGAACTTTTTTGACGAAACGAAATAATTTCGTTATGGGGTGGGAGGGGGTTGACCAATTTCGTTTCAGAAAACTTCGATACATGTACATGGCCGTAGGAGCAGTGACACACTTGCGACTTTTGTTGTATACGCATGTATATCTCAACATTTTTTTACGTTCTGAGGGGGAGGGAGGGAGGGAGGGGTTGGGTCTAAACTAAAATAATTCGTTTGATGAAAAAAGTTCGATATTTACGGACGGCCCCTTACTAGGCGAGGACGCAGGTCATGGTTGTACTCAGGAGCACTATGCGTCCTCGCCTTGTAACATGCTGTCAAAATCGAAAAATATTGTAGTGCAGTGTAATACAGTCAGACCTTGCTTAGCCGCACACATCCGTTTTCAACAAAAAAATATCCGGATAGGTGAGGGAACCGGATAAGCGAACACACATACTGTATGTATGCATGACATGTGCTGTAAATCGGTAACCAACGACTTTCTTCCGGATGGCAAGGGATCCGGATAAAAGAGGACGGGATAAATGAGGTCTGGCGACGTATACGCAAAGTCTACCAAAGTCTACCTTCCGACTGTAGCCAAACTAAGGGACATCCGCAAGTGTCACCATATGCTGTACAGTGTGGCCTTCGCTCCATCACTGTGCATAGCGTGTCCTTGTCCCTGCGGACATAGACATGCACTTGGCCTGCCCCTCCCCCCCCCCCCCCTCCACTCATCCAGTCATGTGAGGCGCATAGGTTTCAACTTTCAAACGAAATTTCTTCGCTGCTGAAAATTAAAAAAATTAGATTACATTGTATTTACGACAGCACACTGTACCTGCCCCGGACTTTGATCTCATGAAACTGGATATCTGTCGTAGTGGTCAGAACGGCGCTGTACGGGAAGTCTGAATTTGTTTGTCGGTGACTTGTTTTGTTCGTTGCAGTGCTTCATGAATTCGCCGTCGCTCGTCGCTGGCAAAGGCAGTCTGCTACACCGCCAGCACATTGTCCTGTCACAGGCGGTGAGTACACCGTAGTGCTAAGCTAGTCCGGTACCGGTATGTTGCTCGGCCAATCTTGCTTATGTCACTCTCCAAAGGAACACATTTTATGTGATATGGAGGGGGGGGGCATGGGTGGCTAGCAGTAGTGTGTATCAGGGGCGGATCCAGAGATCTCTCTGCAGGGGTTCCAGTTTAGCCATAACTGAATAGCTGATACATGTGCATGTACATGCATATGGTTTCCAATAGTACATGTGTGAAATGTAGGGGTTCCGCGCGGAACCGTCTGAACGCCCTTGTGTATAGAGTGGTCATGTGACAGCGTTTGTGCAGAAAGTGATCATGGCATATGGACAGTGGAACTAGCATGGCTGACATCATGTGACCAAGAGTCCACAATCCCCTAGAGTGCGCAACTTCACTGATCAGATCTGGGACGGCGAAATCCGTGTTGCACGTCATACTGTAGTGTGATATCATGAGTAGGGGAAGTGTGTTTGGGTCTGGGTCTCGCCGACGGAATGACGCCAGTCCGACCCGAACACTGAAGTACATCACGGATTACGCCGTCCCGCAACCCCATCCCAGTTGCGCACTCTGGGGAATTATGGACTCGTGATGTGACCTATAGATACAGGGGTTGACTGGATGAGGGACCCACATGACTGTCCCGCTGTACGGTCATGTGATAGCTGTGAAATCAGTACTGTAAGTCGGCAAATTGTCGGCCCGTTCAAATTTCGGCCTCTCAGGGCTAAAACCGATTTCGGCCGCATCAAATGTTCGGCCTGTACTGCTACCGCCTGTATACACTGTCACACTGAAAACTTGCAAAACAAAATTTAGGCCGCAGCAAATTTTCGGCCAAACATGACCTGGCCGAAAATAGCAAAAAATCAATATGCACCGAATATCTGTTGACCTTATAGTATACTTAGAGTATAGGTATTTGCACGGTGTGTAGCTGTAGGTACACTAACCAGTGTTCTGCACTCTTTCGTCGTGTCGTTGCCGTTCTGCCTCCGGCTTGCGTCCTGTCAGATCTCCGGCGTGATGACCGGCATCCTGTCCAGGCTGCAGAACCTGAGCGGCATCAACGAGTTCTTCACGGACATCGTCCTGAACCAGGGCCTGCTCGTAGTCTGGGACAGTCTTCTCAGCACCCACGGTGAGCAGCTAACATGACGCTGCGCGTGTGCGCAGCGTAGTACATGCCGTGCCTGCAGGGGCGTCGGAAGGTATTTTAGGACGGTACGGTCAGCTACCCAAAGTGCAATAAATGATGTGCCAAATAACGCGCAACTAGACTTGAGAGGGCATTGTAGAGTAGCTGCATACAAAGTTCAAAGTTGTACGGTTACCTGTGACTTGTGCTCCTGCAGAGCTCAGGCCCTACCGTGTACACATTAATGTAGTATAATTTGTATGGAACTGGTGTGCAATGCCCTCCCAAGTCTAGTTGCGCGTTATTTGGCATATCATCTATTTACTCCTGGGGTTGGGGTGGCTCCTTCGAAAAATTTCAAACATTTAGAGCCCAAAAATCAGTGGATTTTATTGATTCACGGGGTACCTGAGGCAATGAGTGGTACGGTCAACACCGTAGTGACCGTAGCGTGTCCGACGCACCTGACCTGTAACGTGCGTGTGTCACAGTGCAATGTATAAATCAGGACTCCAGGTTGTTGTCTGCACAGTGTCTTGATTTGGCTAGGTTGTTTGTTTGGCCGTGCTTTCTCAAGTTATTTCTCTGCCTTGTTATGACTGGCTTGTTGTTGCAGGTGATGAGCAAGGCATGCTGGAGGACATGGCTATGGCAATGGACATGCTCGAGAATGTGACATTCGAGGTGAGGAGGATAACGATGGCAAACAAAAGTTTCAATTATTCATCTTTACGATGTCTTTGTGTTGTACGGCATGAACCACAGCACTTCGGTTTGCCTGGTTCACTTTCAAACCTATTATGTGCCTTCATCCTTTTTTGCCTTTTCTCTCTCTCTCTCTCTCTCTCTCTCTCTCTCTCTCTCTCTCTCTCTCTCTCTCTCTCTCTCTCTCTCTCTCTCTGTCTCTCTCTCTCTCTCTCTCTCTCTCTCTCTCTCTCTCTCTCTCTCTCTCTCTCTCTCTCTGTCTCTCTCTGCCTCTCTCTGTCTCTCTCTGTCTCTCTCTCTCTCATGTTGTGGCCCAGGTGACGTCGGGTAACATTTTCCGAACGACTGTAGAAGGCAGCATGGACGCGTTGAATGTGAAGTTAGTGCTGCCACCGGACATCACCAGCACCTTACCCAGCGCCCTGCTTGGCTGTCGCCTCTCCATCGTACCCTGCTTGTTCACGCAGGGGGTCAACGAGAACCAGTTCAAGTCTGACTGGTCAGTACAGTCAGTGGCCAGTAGCTTGTGCTTGCATGCAGGACATGTATTTTGTGCTCACATGCAGGACATGTATTTTGTGCTCACATGCAGGGCATGTATTTTGTGCTTACATGCAGGACATGTATTTTGTGCTCACATGCAGGGCATGTGTGACTTGGACTTATTGTAGAGCGCTTTGTCACATACGGATGGAGGGTATTTCTTGGTCGCGCTCAAAGCCGCACAGGACCGGCGGAAGCAGTTTATGATTGGTCCAGCCGTTCTCCATCTGCTTATACTTTGTGTTTGACATGGCGGGTACACATGACCCCCCCCCCCCCCCCCAGCAGCTAACGCCCGTTGGCGGCCAAAGAGTTGGCCCTGATCACTCGGACCGATTACACTGCCCCTGAAGTGATGTCATTGGAAGTCTGTCACTAGCTTGCGCTTGAACATGACCTGGGCCGGCGGCACTCATCACTTAAATCGTTGTTGTTTTCGTCGCCGTCGTGGTCTACATCGTTTGTGTTATTTCTTATTTGCATGCCAGTACAGTGGAGATTGGATATAACGACACTCATTCGGGAGAAAGCAAAATGTCGCTATATTCGATCTGTCACTAAACCCGATCTTCACATTTCGTATTCAATATGTAGTTCAAAATGACAGAAATGTATTGTAGATGTACATGTACATGTGGATAACAGATGTGTATGTGCATGTGTCTTGCATGCATTGTTCAAGGACGTGGGCGGTAAAGTCATCCCGCACCGCTGCACTGCGGCTACAACGTGCAATGTATAGCACACATTGAGTGACCCGGAGGTCCGGGCATGTGGCACAGCCATATACCATGTTCCAGACATGCCAGTCTGCCTGGTACAAGAGGAAAGTCGTTATATCCGATGTATTTTTACTGTTTTCCAGGTCTTCGGGCACCAAAAAAGTGTCAGTAAATTCGATCTGTCGTTATTTTCGAGGTCGTTATACCCGATCTATAATGTACAGAAAGGACTTGCTAAACGACTTGGGCAACAGAATTGTGTCGCTTAACTCGATTTGTCGTTATACCCAAGGTCGTTATATCCAATCTCCTCTGCACTGCTAGTTCAGTGCAGGTGTAGACTATGACAATTTTCGATACTGGGTTTGAAGTTCCGTGACTTTTGATGTCAAAAATCGACTCAAAATGCATCCACCCATTGCTTGTCATGCCGATATGTGCATAGGTTTGGGACGTCCAAGTTCCAGGAGATCGTCAATGTGAAGCATTACGAGCGGCTTTCGCGCTACGTCACGCGCTTCCGGGATAATAAGAGCTGGTATGCCCAGAACCACGAGTCGTCAAGTGAGTTTACAATGTACATGTCCATGTATGTGCCTGCATTGTAACTGTTGAAATGAGTAGAGTTAAAAGCGTTGCTACGCCAACGAGGGAAACATGGATGCAGCAAATGGGATTTTCCGTCTTTGGCCACTTTGCTGGTGGGCTGATCTACTCATCTCCTACCGCTTTAGGAGCTGCATCTGCGCCTTAGATCTTTCCAGGGTGGTGACGTTCCTGCGGATGCTGAAAACTCAGTCTAACCGAGTCCCAAGCGGACCGTGAATTTTTTACACCAATGAAACGCAGCGCCTATCTGCTGAGTCGAAAGGTCTTCGCCTCCAACTCGTCACCTGCAAGGTTGAAAATGCATTCCAGTAAACCACCCTGCCTGTGTCTACAACTGTTATCGGCTGTTTTGAGAGTTGGCTGCCGTGATTGAGTGATCTTCAAAGTAACCCGCGAGACCCAAAATGGGGTATTACGACTGTAGTACCCCAGGGAGTCCATGTACAACATAGTATCGTTAGATTTCCGGGGTATAAATTCTGGGGGGGGGGGGGTACGTTTATGTTACAGCGGCAGTGCACCTGATCATCGTCATCATGGATTTAGGTGTGCATGTACATGTACTAGTGTACCGATCTTGCCTTGTTTTGGCCGTGGTTCTGGGTTTGCGTGTATGCGTATGCGTGCGTGTGTGTGTGTGTGTGTGTGTGCGTGTACGCGCGTATGTGTATGTGTGTGTGTGTGTGCATGCTTGCATGTCCATCATCATCTGCATCTGCCCACGTCCTTGCCACACAGGTATGATGTCGCCGGTGGCGGAAGCTGAGCAGATGTCACAGCGCGCTGCCACATACATGGAGATGCTGCGCGGTGCACTCAAGTCGAAGAAGGAGCGCAACATCGACATCTTGACGTGCGCCAGCCAGGTGAGTGACCAGCGTCCCTCTTCTGCCTGTAGCAGTCCAGGGGCGTCGGAAGGTATCTTAGTGTGGGACGGTCAGCCATTTGAAGTACAATTACTCGTGCGGTTGGGGTGGTTCCTATGGAAATTTAAAATTCCGACACTTAGACCCCAGATCAGTGCTTTTATTGATTCACAGGGTACCGGGGACGAAGAGTGGTACGGTCAATGCCGTAGTGAGTCCATAGCGTGTCTGACGCCCCTGAGCATAATAATATTTTATGTTTCCACTAATGCTCCTGCCAACCGCTAGCAGAGATCAAACTTGTTGCAAAAATGTGTGGAGCGCAATGAGAAAAGCGTTTTCTCAGCATCTCTAAGACTAACCGTCTTCTGTCCCCGGGGAAAATCGCGGAAAAATCCCAGAATTTGCGGTGTAATTTGCGGGTAAATATGGCATAATTTGCGGTGAATTTGCGGTAAATATGCGGTGGATTATTGATATGCGGCAAGTTTGCAGTTGACATGAGGCAATTTTCAGTGAGTATGTAGTGAAATCAATCAGTTACAAGTCTCTGGTGTAAGCACTCGTCATATTTGAGTACAAAGCCGCCACGATGAGACGTTGCTGACCGAACAGTGCACTGTGTGTACGTGTAGTGCAACAAAAAAGTTCAAAAAACGCGGGGAAAATCGCGGAAAACGCGGTCTTTTAACCCTTTGTGTACGGACTGTACAACTTTCGATCCCCTGGGATCGAAACTTTTCAAATTTTCAATCGATCGTAACTCAGTCATTTCTGGGTTATATCCAAAAATTAAAATATGTAAGTCAAAGAGAAAACTCCCAGCTGTCCATTAAAACAATCGCTGAAGCGCTCCGATGTGTGGTTCCAGAGTTACGAAGCTCGAAAGTCGAGATCAAATTCAGTCTGTGTACAATTTTTCAGTACATAAAGGGTTAAAGAATCGCAAAAAAAAACACGGGAAAAAACGCGGCCGTGGAATCGCGATTTTCCCCGGGGACAGCGTCTTGTCTTGATTAGCACGAAACCGCGTTTCAAGCCAGTCTTATACTCGTGCATGCACAAGCGGAGGTCCGGAATTCAAGCCAGCTGTTTTCATTTTGTGACACGAAAGCACGAAACTCAGGCATATGTGCACCTTGCAAGTCAGGCTTGCATTCGATGCAGACGTCTGCATGGGACCGGCTTAGATTCTGCACACGACGGTGTGGCATGTGTGTCCTCGAAGAAAGGTGCATACTGATGACCATGAGCGACACTCGGATGTGTGTGTGCGTGTGTGTGTGTGTGCGTGTGTGTTGGGTTACTGTTGTTAGGTTTGCCTTCTGTTTGACGGTGTTCGGCTGATGAGCTGCAAGAGTGCTAAAGATCGCACTGCCATGATGGTCACGCTGGAGGCCAACTGCTATCTCCTCAACAGATTCAACATGCCACTGGAGAAGCTGCCCAGCTGTCTGGCAGCTATGCGAAGGTCAGTCACTCCGCTACGCCCGCGGCATGTATGCGTTCTGTTGAGTAAGGTGTGTGCGTGCGTGCGTGTATGGGGGCGGTGGGAGACAGAAAAGAAGAAAGAAATAGAGGAAGACAGGTAGACAGATCACCCACATTCACATCAGTGTCATCATGTGTGTTTCCTTTTCCATATTGTATTGTGCAGTCTTGGTACCCGAATTCAAAACACCCGCAAGAACATTGGTGAGCCAAGGTATGCATTCCAGAAAGTACAGCTACAGTGCTTCCCGAAACTTCTTCGGCCGCCGGATGGTTCTTACGGCTCAATGTTGACATAACCACGCCAACAGGACGCATCCAGTAGGCCCAACGTGGCGGTTAGTGGTGGCGCATGCGTGGACGCTGTGCATGCGGTGACAGTGCCTGTGTTTTGTTGCATTTCATTTCATTTCTGTGTTCTGCTACTGCAGTGTATTAGCCCCGGGTTCCTTGTCACCTTTTTCTGTTCAATGTTGGTGTAATCAAATCAGTGATTTTTAAAGTACTTCTTTTGGGATAGATCCTCATCTCTTTTTCCATAGTTCTTTGTTTGAATATAGATTCCGGATATCGAATCTGTTCTCCGTATCACGGGCCCTGTTTTCTGGCTCACCCTCGTGTTTTCAACAGCGTGCTCAAAGTTCTTCGTAGACCATTCAGATCAACATTTCAAGGCTCTATTTTTAATTTTAATTTTTTATACTAAATGAAGTGATTCGGTTCTAATTTTTGCGGTTTGATCTCAGCGCTTTCCACTAAATGTTTTCATGCGGTTAGTTTTTGGCTGGCCCAAATTCCAAATATACAGCTAATTTTAAATTTGGGTTCGGCCATTTCTAGGTTTTTCGGATCATCCTATCTGCTACCTGCTTGTTTTCCTCATTCGGTTTTTTTGGCCTGGCAATTTTAGTCTTGTGAATGCAGCTGGAAGTCTGCCTTTAAGTTTTGCCGCAACTGTAGCTGCTGTACAATGTAACTCCACCCTTGTTCTTCGTCACTGATGCAGAGATATGCTGGGCCGGCAAACGGGCCAGCTGACTAATGTTCTATGAGAAACAAAACTGCATGTACATGTAGGTTCTTTTTATTATGATTGCAGATAAAGCTATTATTATTATTATTATTAGGATATTATTAGCAACGGCTGCTCAGCTTTAGAATTACCGCTAAGTAACCAGGGCCGATCGGACTCCGCGGAATCCACCCTTCGGATGAAGGTGCACTGTATTTTGTAAAGCTGCTTGAGCACTCAGCACTCGCAATGTCTCTTGGACCACATGCACAGAATCGGTTCATTCATTCCTCAGCATTTATTTACCGTACTATCCCCAATAAATGTACAGTACTTTTAATTTTTCAAAGGTGGCCAACCCTGTATGTACTACTAAAGGAAACTGTACATGTACTAGCATTGGAGACTGTTCTTATTGTTTCTGGCAAGATTGATCGCCTGCCATGTGTGTCATACCACTCATAATACAGGACTGTGCTACTTTTCGACTGTGGATACCTGTATAGATAGGGCTTGAAAGTGATGACGTCGAAAAAGGCCTGGGAGCAGTAAGTTGACATCAGATTTCTATTTTGGATCCACTATGGTGTGACTTTGCTATTGCCTCAGTATGCGGGTGCATAGCAACCCACTCATGTCGTATGCAGGTGCGACTTTTACTTCACCACCTTTTGTCACCCCGCCCCCACTAGCCAAATCAGTTAGTTTCACTGGCTACACCGCCTTGCTGTGAGTAAGACCGCTTGAAATGTGCTTGGATCCATACAAAAACTGGATCCAGTTTTTGAATTTTTCAAATTGTTGCTATGCCATTGCTATGCTGTGACGTAGCACTTTCAAGCCATAACACTCCAGCCAGGGTACCAAGCAGTGTAGAAAGGCACAGAGGTGATGAATGGGCAAGGAAAACAAAGTAGTTAGGTGGATCCACGTACGTGTACCCCCCCCGATAATGACCATTACATCATTCTGGCATGTACTACAGTCCATTTCAAAACTATAGACGCGTACCTAGGCAAAAAACGTTATGCCAGCATCTATACCACATAAAATCTGTGATCACTTTGTGCATAAATTTTTCCAAATTGGGCGTCTGTTATCCAATCGCTTAGAAACTATATGAGAGTAATTGTGGAGCTATCCTGAGCAATATTCCAAAAACTATTCTCAAAAAGTTCCAGCCAAAGTTAATATTTCAAAAACCCTACGTGTCTATATAGAGGCGTGTCCTTTCATATTTTCAATCCATGCTCAACATGTACCACTATTGGAGATGTGCTAGTATTGGAGATGTGTACAGTAACTTATTAGGGATAATACGGTATTTCAATTTTCAGACTTGAAAGTTGAATATATCACTCGGATCACTGCTATGTTACAACCGGAGTACAGAGAACCGTGTGAATAACGATCTTTGGTACAGCAACAACTCGGGAATAACAACACAATCTTCAGGCCTACAAGTAAATGCCCATTTGGCTGCACAATTTCAACCTTGCGGATAATGACGGCATGTTTGTAATTGTTGTTCGCAAGGTAACTGGTTGACTGTACACCAGATATCAGGGAGCCCTACACATAGTGATTAGTGTAGGGCTCCCTGATGTATGGTATGTGTAGGGCTCCCTGCTATACATGAAACGGGAGTGCGCAACTCTACGTTCCATGGAACAATAAAAGTATGCACTCGCTGTGCGGTGCTCAAATATTCGGGTATTTCAGCCTGCATCCAGCATTTTGTAATGGGACTCGTAAGTAGGAGGAAGCAGTCGCTAATATGCGCATACGGTTATCATCGTGGGCACAACAAAAATGCACTCTTCTTTCAATCCCTGCCCCGAATTGTTTTCACTTGCGTTTATATTCCCATAGCTTCATAGCATCCTTCAATACTGGTGAAAGCGATCCATCGACCCTGGCAACGGGGCCTAACATGCGAACATTCATGCAGCTCATCTCTGATCAAAAAGCTGCGGACGCAGCATTGCGCCTTGTGCAACTAGAAACAGACGGGAAGACCTATTGCAGAGAACATGGCCTGGAGAAGGGAGAAATATCGCAAAGCAATCAAATAAATCAAGTATTGTAGATACATGTACATTCGAATCAAAACTCAAAATTTTGAGAGAAAAATGATCTGAGCACTGCACGATTTTGTTTTGTCGCGTGGACTCGCAAAAAAATTGTTCCCATGGAAATGCGCATGCGTATTAGCTTTGGATATGCCGATGGTCTTTCTTTTCGGTTGGGCGCTGGTCTAGAGTCCTTTCTTCTTCACGAAGGTGAGAAAACCCAAACCGATTTGAGCTATCAGTGGACGAAGGAGCCTGGTGGAATTCTCAACAGTTGCAGTAATCAATTTTGCATACGGTCCTGTAGGTCAAAATGTCGAAGTCCACTAAGAGAAAGGGAAAGGAAGCCAAGAAGGAGGAGAACATTGTCCTCGGACCTCAAGTATGACGTTTATGGCGTTTGTTTTTGCAACGTTCCGCTAGAGTCTGACATAGTAGTTTCGTGTGCTATGTAGGTCGGTGAGGGCGAGAATGTTTTCGGCGTAGCTCACATCTTCGCCTCCTTCAACGATACCTTCGTGCACATCACTGATCTTTCTGGAAAGTAAGCACTCAGGAGATTTGATGAAATTTATGTTGAAAAATTGAGTTAGGTAGACATCGGGGATCCTTTCTATTCTATTTGTCGATATAGGGAAACGATCACCCGTGTCACTGGTGGTATGAAGGTGAAGGCTGACCGTGACGAGGCCTCACCATACGCTGCTATGTTGGCCGCTCAGGATGTGGCTGTTCGCTGCAAGGAGGTTGGAATCACTGCCCTTCACATCAAACTCCGTGCCACTGGTGGAAACAGGTAAGCAAAATCATCCACTGATCCAGATTGTGATAGTCATGCCTTGATTTGTGAATGGTTATATTCCGGTAAATGTGATTATTATTCTACCGTTCATTGATTGAGAATAGGATTGATTCTGTATTTAATTTTTCAATTTTCTCAATATTTTAATAATTTTTATTGACTCATGAGAATCGAAAATGGTTCACCAAGAACGCCGATACTCGCATCAACATGTACTCCTGGCACTTCTGAGAGTAAATAACCATTTGAACAATTAACGACTTATATAGTGCATTCTCACCAGAATGCTGTGTTGGCATGGTCCAGCTGTGTCGGTGGTATGTACTAGAGCTAGCCCGTGTGCTTCGAGAGATTAGTGTGAAGCAGTATTTCCATTCAGTAGAGAGCAGATAGCACTCGTGTTCCTCAGCAAAGCACAGTTGGGTGTAATGAATTCACCGTACGTCAGTTTGGTTCACGGTTTGTGTACATAACGTCTGTTTAGCCTTGACGTCAATTTCTGTGTTTTGCAGTCATCCCGTTGAGGGTGGAGAGTGTCGATTGGTCCTGCATAGTAGCAGCCATGCTACATGTAGTACATTACCGTAAAATACTGCTCGAGTCCAATGCATCTCCTAAGTGCTGCCTGAGTTTTGTTGTCTGAGACAATGACTGCCTGACTTCGTGTCTGTCTACAATGCGACTGGGTGCTCCAGCAGTAACGTCATGTAATTATTTGTGTACAACTTCGTATGTGGGGTGCCCGTCAAAGTGTGATGGTTGTACTGTATATGTCTATACCTTTCAACGAAATGTCTTGTGTCCTGTTGCTCTTCTCTCTGCCTCAGGACTAAGACCCCAGGACCCGGTGCACAGTCTGCCCTCCGTGCCCTTGCACGTGCTGGCATGAAGATCGGTCGCATTGGTAAGGTCTTCGTTTGTTTCATGTCTCGGTGTGGTGATCTTAGTGGACTGTTTGCTGAGTGATGACATTATCCGTACCAGTCGGCTTCTCAGTGACCGACAACATTATTAGTCTGACAGCTGTCCAATCACTGTGTTCATTTGTCTACTAATACATTTAGTTTGTGCGGAATGCGTAAGGTGATGTTCAGAATGGGAGGTTTTAGACCTCGAATAAAACATTGCCATAGAAATTGGATCATCATATTAAGACCTGCTACCGTGACCAGTTATCCTCAATCTGTGAAGAGCTAGCTGCCTCAATTTGAGTGTTCCATGGTTTTACTCAGCCCTGGATGTATTTCTGTACTTTTCTGTGTTGCAGAGGACGTCACCCCCATTCCCTCCGACAGCACCCGCAGAAAGGGTGGACGCCGCGGTCGCCGTCTATAAATTTTGTTTTTTGTGCTTCTTGCAAAATACATCTCCGGAAAGACAAACTTCTAAATGACTCAATGAGTGCTGTGTGTATGCGATTGCATGGACATGCATTATGATGATCTGCAGTAGAGTGATGCGTTCAATCCTAATTCTCCTCCTGAGGTTACCATGGGGCATTGTTATACTCTTATCAGTCTGTTCCAGAATAATTGCATCCGTAGAGTTGTCGACATGACTCCAGTAGATGCCTATTCAAGCTGGAAGAAACCTTGCAGCCACAGTGTTTGACACTGTTGAACCGGAGCTCTCTTTCTTTCAGTGTGCACATTTGGCATGTGACTGCTGTATAAGAATTATGTTATGTTGGGCGTGTTGAAATGTGTTTTATGCATGTCTGCTGCTTGTGGGTATATTGCTAGCTCTAGACTGGTATAGACGCTCGACGCAGACATCTGCCCTACTACTAGACTACATGTATACATTACATGTTCTGTTGTAGTCTCATGCCATTATGGCGCCAATGAATGAGTTTGGTTCAGAATCTCATTTTCCAAGAACATTAAAACAAGTTACTTGACTCAGAAGTTTCACGAAGCCTCCAAATACCGTACTTCCCCACATATAAGCGCATGCGCTTATAAGCGAAAATTTGCTGCAAAAAAGATCTTTGGCTGTGTAAACATGTTCGGGTAGAAGCCCATGCGCTTATATGCGCAATACAGGTTTGTCTGTGTCCTAAACAATGGTGTCATCACACTACTTACTTTTTAGTGGTATATTTCGCTCCCGCCTTTTCACCAATAGTGTTCACATATAAGCACATGCGCTTATAATTAAGGGGTGCGCTTATATCCGGACATAAGCACATGCGCTTATATGTGCGGAAGTACGGTAATTGAAAGGTGATATGAGAGTCAAATCGTCGGTCTCTTGTGGTGAAATCTGCTGCAATGCATGCAGAATTGCATTCTGAATTTCTCACTCTACCTCAAATTGAGACACAAAATTTGAAATTGTGGGCCGAAAAGAGAATTCGGATCTTTCCAAATTTCCCATGCCCAAGACGTTGATTTCAGAGTTTGGTTGGGCTAAATCTGCAGTGCAGAAAAAGTAGTTTCTGCGGTCGTCGAAACGAGTGCAATCAACCCATGTGGGTCTTATGAAGTTATCTGCTGCACTGATTACTACATGTATGACCTAGTGAATGGAAAAGACTGATTTCGTGTCAAGCATTGGCCCTCGGCAGACCAAACACAACTGTACTCATGCATGTACTACTAGTAAGGCAATGATTACAGAATATATCAACAGCAGACAAGGTACCGCAAAGGGGCAACATTACTCGACGAGCAGTGGGAATTGGCCCAGGATTGCAACATAAGCACAGGAACTAAAATAGATTAAAAAAAAAAAAGAGTCTCGAGGGTTTCTCATATGGCGGAATGGAGGAAATAAAACTTAATCAACTGAAACAAATGAGAATGCTTTGTAAGGCAGCATCTAACCAACGATTCAGTTATAATAAGGGCATGTCCAGCTACGAAACTATGAACACTGCACACAACATGACGAGAGGATCGTTACACCTGGATACAAATCATGTGCAGCTGCCTTCCGCAAACACGTCCTTCTCCGTGAGCGCAAACGTGATGATGGCACCGGTAAACGAGCCAACCTGCGTCAGAATGCCGACCCAGAGAAGACCTCTCGAGTGGGCCATCTTACGAGCCACCGTGGAGATAAGAACTTTCGTGTAGCTAACACAAGCACTGAAGATGACAACAAGAATGACCTGTAGCAAAAAGCAGAAGGAAATACATAGCATTGCTAGTACAGTAAAGCCTGGTTTAAGCGACCACCCCACGGTGCAAGCAAAAGCGGTCGCTAAAGCCAGGTGGTCTTTAGAACCAGGTCCCACAGTGTCTGTGTAGAACTGTCGGTTTTACTGTACTAGACTATAGTGCGTTTCAAAAGTATAGACCTCTAGACTTTTTCGATTAATTCAAATTTAGCTTGAGCTTTTTTGAGAAATTTCTTCGGAATATTGATCAGGCAGCTTCCGCAATTTTTCTCATATAAATTTCTAAGCGATTGGATAACAAACGCCCAATTTTGGAAAATTTATGCATAAAGTGATCACAGATTTTATGCGGTATAGATGCTGACCTAACGGTTTTGGAAACCAGAGGTCTGGACTTTTGAAACAAACTGTAGTAAGCAAGCAGGTACCGTGCAAATGACCCCCGGAGTGCCCGGACACACCGACCATATTAGGGAGGTTCCCCCCGCGACCCACACTTTCTATCGCAGATAGATGTATCCTACAAGGGCAGCAATCAAAGCAGAGCCTATAACATGTATTCAAGGAATTCGGACAGGCACTGAGAACACACCGTAAGCACCAAACGTATCCTAATTTGAAGTATTAGTACCAGGGAGTAGTATTTACTACTCCCTGATTAGTACTGTCGATTCATTGCCAGAAATGGACATGACGCAGATTCGACTCTGCGCAAAGCTACACAAGCCCCCTTTTCGGATCTGTAAGCTCATCTGGTTATGGGGATCACGTCCAGCCCTAGAAACTTACGAGCAAGGCCGTGCCCCCAGATTGGCACGTCAGCGGACGGTCACAGTCGATGGCAAGGAAGAGAATGTACCCGGCGATGCCAGTCAGCACAGACACCAGACCGCCGAGAAGAGCTTTCGACTCGGACGGCAGCCAGAAGTAGAGGAAGGAAGCGAGCGGAGCTGTCAGAATGCCAGCAACGGTGGTCAGCAGGAACGCTTGTCGGCCGTATGGCAAGTACGCATACGAGGAGATGGCCGGGACGACACCGTTGGACAACGCACACGTCCACGCGATGGCAAGTAACATAAGCACGAGCGTCTTCGGCGAGCCACCACGGGCGAGAACCTCCTGGTCAAAGCCCAGGTGCCTGGCATAGCTACAGCTCAGCTCAAAGAACTGCGTGCCATCCGTGTTAGATTGTGTGCTGCTGGATGATACCTGTTCACCGTCACTGTTGCCGTCCGGTAACCGTTGATACACACCCATGCGATAGCGAAGCAGAGTGAACGCCACGCCGCACGCTATCGTCGTCGCCGCCAGGGCGCCGAAGTAGGAGCTGGGCTGGAAGCGGACGCCCTCGACGGAGACGCCCGTGCTGTTGCTGCAGCCCGGGAACGAGGCGTTCCAGTGCTGCTTGGCGCACGAGTCGGCGTCGCTCGTGTGCTGTATGAGCGCCAGGGCCGACGGCACGAGGCCGCTGAAGCCCTCGCCGATGTACAGCGCGCTCATGTAGACGGCTGGCAGGTGGGCCAGCACGGGCAGGAAGACGACCGACGACGTGCAGTCGACCAGCGCCAGGAAGAAGGAGAGCGCCAGCAGCGCGGTGCTGTGCTCCGTGCCGCCGACCATGCTGCACCTGTGCCACAGCTGGCTCAGCAGGACGCAGGCGAGGGTGCCGACCGAGACGACGGCCGCCACGCCGAAGCTCTGGCAGCGCAGGCGGTTCTCTTCCGACGTGCACCGCTCCGCAATCGTGTAGGCAATCGGACCAATGTTGGCGAGCTGTAAGACAAAGGACAAAACGCATATGCACATGTCAACACTACTCAATAATGGAAAAACGGCTGTTTGAGACCAACTGATTCGGCATCTCCAATGCATTCTTTGAAAAGTGACTGCTAGTCGTATCGACAATGTTGCGGAATATCAAAAATGAGGTTTAATAAATACACAGATGGGGTTTCCAGGCGTTCACGGAATGTAAGGTTTGCGCTCAGTCACGACTTTATTTCGGTCTTTTGAAGTTATATTCAAGTCGCCGACAGTCTGTTTTCGTTCCGAAAACTAATCGTGCTCTGCCTCGTCCCTCATTTCTACCCAAGATTATTGCTGAGGTCAGGATTCCAATGAAACTTTCATGTACTGGACCTATTATAGAGTGACACGAAAGCTTAAGGGACTTGATCGCGAAATGGACAAGTAATTTCCCCCAAATCTAAAGGTGGACAAGTTTTACTACATGCATTCTCATGTGACATTGATCATCAGAAATTACGTATACGTGCCTGAATGATGACGGTGAGATAGGCTGTTAGTTTGTACTGCTCAGCGGTGTAGGGTATCAGGACAAACAGCTCCGACCAGAGCCCGTTGATCGCCACCCACGAGCCCATTCCGAACACGATCACCAACGAAAACGTGACCCATGACGTCCTTGCCCCATCCATGATGGCCGGGACTACAGACCTGATGTGGAGATGTCTTTTCCGGAACGTGAAGGCACTATTTCAAGACACTCATTTCATTCAGTTGCATGACTGTAGTCGAAACTATTCGGCATCGGTACAGACAATTCCAGTTCAGTTATTGAAGTGTCCGGAAGATAGTCAGGCATATGATGTTCGCCTTTGTGTATTCAGGTCACATTCACCTCGAGTCAGAGCATCGGACTAGCTCAAACACTGCTCAAGATAAGACTAAAACTAAAAGTCAAGTCTCAAGAACACTGATATCGCCATCGCCAGTTTCTCACCTTTCCCTTTGCTCAATGCTCACATAATCTTTTAATAAGTCATTGGCCATTGCGCAAGGCGATTATTTGAACAGCTCGGATGATGTCATCGCGATACCCTCTGTTTCGCGTGATGTCATGCATCACAAAATTATTTTTTTGTACTGTTCGGTGGTCATAGTGACAAGTGATTCTAGTTGCCAAGGGTTTTTTTGACGTGGGGTACACGAGGCGTACACCCGGTACACGAGCGCTAGGCTGTACTCTAGACTAGTACTCTGCAGTCTAGTCTGTCTGTCTATGCTTGTAACCGTGATCATGGTGATCATGGTGATGCGCAGTCTTCTTTTCGTCGTCAGCGCTAGCGCTAGCGCTTCACCGGTACGCGGTACAGACAGACAGCGCCATGTAGATCTACATGACATTGTATAATGTATGTGGGGACTGGGGAGTCTAGGGAGGCTAGGTAAGGCCTAGGCGCTAGGCTAAGGGACGTACACGGACGTGTCGACACACATGATGTCATGTCCCAGGACGGCCGTGTTCTCCTCTCACGACACGAGTCTCAGGAGGCAATCCATCTTCTTCTAGTCAGTCCAAACCAAAGCAATGAAGTAACGTAACTCGTTACAGTTGTAGATCTAAAACAGGCAGATCCTGACCAGCGGAGGAGTGTGCGTTGTCGTGGCCGGGCGTGGGGATTATTTGGAGCACGGATCAGTCAGGAACCCTTGGCCTTGGCAGGGACTGCACTGGAGACTTCCCGATCGAGTCTGTTACTGTGATCAAAATTAATCGTCACAACAGTAGGACACAATACAGTCATAGACATATTCTTTGTAACTAACTTCTGTCTTCTACCTATAGCCTAGGCTAGGAGTGAATCTTCTAACGTAACGTCGTGGAGTCCCACAGCACGTAGCCTCGTAGGCGTGCTGGTATTGTAGTCCTTCTAAACCTGGCGCGTCCCGAAGAAGGAGGGCGTGTATGTGTGTGTATGCTGCGCGGCGAGCGAGGCTCGGAGAAACGACCGTCCGCGCACGGTTTGCCTCTTTCATACCGCGATCCCTTGTTCAAGCAACGGTACGGCTACTGTAGGTCAGCTCTCTGACCACAGACAGTGGACTTGGTCTAGGCTCGTGCTGAGAAACTGTCGGAGCGCCCCCTCGCTTTGCTCGGAGAGCTCCAACAACAGACACAAGACACAGATACATACCGTCTTGCGAAGGCTTGCCGCTTGATGATCAAGCGGCGACTCGGTAGATACACACGTAGATCTACAGTCTACACGTCCACTGCACTGGCTAGCTGATTCGGCCTCGCTATATCGCGTGGTGTCTTGAACGGAGGTGAGAACGAAGAGCATATTTACCGTGTCCAGCAGCAACGAGCCGCCAAGATGTACCAGACACGGCGTGCTCCCGTTCACACCGTTGTGACGAAAGCGGCCGGCGGTCGTCACCCTAGCGCACAACCCGCGGCAGCCGGGTCGACCAGGGATTTTTCAGTATGCCGGGGCCGAATGGCAAGAAACGCAAACTGAAGACGACACGCGTTCCTGAACCTGTTGAGACTGAGAGTGGAATACAGACCTGGTTGCAGTGGTCGGAGTGGACCAAAGCCAAAGCCAAAGCACAGGTCCCAGCTGACCTGTTGCCTGCACGGCCCCCTGTTCGACCTCCCGCCAACCGAAGACGGGTTCTTGGAGGGGCGCGGGCCATGGACCGCTTCGAGAAGCTGGCAAAGCTGGGAGAGGGTTCTTACGGTACAGTGTTCAAGTGCCGCGTTCGGGATACCGAGCAACTTGTCGCCATCAAGCGCTTCACCGACAGCGAGGACGACCCGTACATTCGCAAGATTGCCATAAGAGAAGTGCAGATGTTGAAGGTAAGAAGACGTGCGTGTCGTGTGTACAACGTTACGTGTTTGTTCCCCTGCACACATAATGCTGTAGTGACGTAACATGTTTGTTCCCCTGCACACATAATGCTGTAGTGACGTAACATGTTTGTTCCCCTGCACACCATGGCACTGTAGTGACTGTACATACACAAACACATGCACTACCAAAACAGAACAACAACAGAATAATAGTATTTTACTATTTAGTAGTATTTACCCAAACAGACCTACAACAAAAAGCAAAAATCTCCACCTGCGTTCAGACTGCACACCTGAAGAGCCGTCATAAACAATATGGCGAAACGATCAGGGCATGCTACTATAGACGTGCCGCGAATGGTTTCCCGGGGTTACATGATTGGAACCGCTTTCGGCCGCAAAGTATACAGCATGCGTCAGCGGAATTGCTAATGGGCGTTGAGTATGCCGCAGCGGAACTGCTCATGGGTGCTTTGTACATGTATGCACTCGAGTCGCTATAGTGCAAGCGCAGCGCTGTGCCGCGACTCCGCCAAAGAATCCCAAGCGATCTTGTGATCTCACAACCTCTATACTATGCTATTACAGCCGATATGCCCATCGTGTTCTTCAACCAAGGCAATAACATTGCTGCAAGATATCGGCGTTCGATTTTTTACAATTTGTCCTCGTGAAGCTTCCCCTTTGTGTATCATAGTAGCTTTGAGAACATTGATCCTCTTGCTATTGCCTCATGCTGTCGAATTGTGGTTAGACCATGATTCTATCCAATTAATGTTCCTAAAGGCTAAAGCTCTTGAATTTGTATTCAACATACCGGGCACAGCTGTTGCTTATTTAATACGTTATTGGTGCTCGCGGTCGCGCTGATCGGTTTTCCTTGCCCTACAGAAACTACGCCATGACAACCTGGTGAACCTGATTGAGGTGTTTCGCCGACGCAAGCGCATCCATCTGGTCTTTGAGTACTGTGAATTCACGCTATTGGACGAAATCAACAAGCACCGCAAGGGGTGAGAACTTGGTATCTTTTAAACGTCTAGGTTAGGTTCGGGTTTACCGGGTGTCAGCAGCCGGGGTGAGGTCCCTTTGGGAACGTACCGTGATAGCTTACTTTACTTAATTCTCTAGATATTTCCTCTAAACAAGTTGTTTAGATGACAAACATGGCATTCAAGACATGCTCTCTTCCATAGCAGAATATAGCATAATATAGCATCCCGAGGCATGCATAGCTACACTATTTTCCGCACTTTGAACAGTCAAAAATCACCCAAAAGAAGGGAGTGTGGCTTATGCTTTGATGATCAACTCAACGGTGATAGATAGGGCAGATGTTTGTATTTCGTGGCAAAAAATGGGAGGTACGGCATACTGTAAAACACGATATTTTCGGTGTAACTTTAATTTCGGTGATTTCAGTAGTGAAAACCGGCACCTAAATTTAGATTACACCTGAAAGTCACCAGTGTGTACACTGTATGTGAAGGGAATGCTGGTCACCTAATTCTACATTACACCTGAAACCTGGCAGGTCCCTGACACCGAAATTTTAACACACCTAAAAATTGCTAAAATTACATGTTTTACAGTATACTCCAGTGGTGCTTCTACTCTGTAAAATACAATAGGTGTGCGTAAGTGAGCGGGTGATGCGTGATGCTGGTGTTGCCATGCAGATTGAAGATGGAGAAGGTGCGCAAAATCACCTACCAGCTGCTGTCCGGAATTGGCTATTGCCACCAGAGCAGCGTAAGTCGCGGTTTAGTGTATAGCAGCTGCCTGCCGATTCTCATCCCGTCCTTTTGCCCCCTGCTTCTGCACTGTGAAGTTTGGAATGAGGCTGTGAGTCAACGGCATAGTTATTGCATTCTCTTTACGAATACACGGGCCTGCCTGCTAGCGTGCTTTTGCTGAGCACTGGTGTTTTTTTCAAACTGACTGCTACAGTATTCACTTCGTCTTGGGGGTTGGACATGGGGAAGTTGCCATACCGGGGTGGCGAGCCCGCCTTTCTCGGCACTGGTGTGTGCAGGTCTACCCTCGTTCGTAGACAGCCCCGGGGTTTCTCATTGCTCGTCTTGTATAAGCAACGAGTATATTATCTACTATCTGGATGTGAATGTACGCGTTTCAGGCGTCAGGGGATTTTTGATAGTTGCCTCTACTAATGAGGTTTGTCTTGTGCCCGATGTCGTACTAATGAGGGTACACCTGTACAGTCGACTCCACTTATAATAACAAATTCAAATGTAGTGAATTTCGTGATATAGCAAACCATTGTCCATGTTCCTGTTTGAACCCATACAAAATCGACCCTTTCTTGCAAACAGTTTTCGTGTATACCAAACCAAATCTTGTAGGGCTGCATGTAAACCAAGTGCAGTCACACTGTCATGGGGCACATGCTAGTCGCGACTTGCTACTTGTATAGTTTGAGTGCATTTCTGGTATAACGGACTTCGGCTAAAAAGAACTAGTTCTGCTGTGCAATGGTGTTCGTTATAATCAGGAGACAACTCTACATGTACATGCTTATGCTACTTTCTGGCACAGGTTGTTCATCGCGATGTCAAACCGGAAAACATTCTAATCTCCACGCGTGGCATCATCAAGGTCTGCGACTTTGGGTTCGCTAGGATGCTCCGTGAGTGCAGTATGCGTATACAGCGGCGTTGCACTTGCTTATGTTGTACTGGCTTGCGTTGCACTGGCTTGCGTTGCACTGGCTTGCGTTGCACTGGCTTGCGTTGCACTGGCTTGCGTTGCACTGGCTTGCGGTGCACTGGCTTGCGGTGCACTGGCTTGCGGTGCACTGGCTTGCGGTGCACTGGCTTGCGGTGCACTGGCTTGCGGTGCACTGGCTTGCGGTGCACTGGCTTGCGGTGCACTGGCTTGCGTTGCACTGGCTTGCGGTGCACTGGCTTGCGTTGCACTGGCTTGCGTTGCACTGGCTTGCGGTGCACTGGCTTGCGGTGCACTGGCCTTCGTTGCACTGGCTTGCGGTGCACTGGCTTGCGGTGCACTGGCTTGCGGTGCACTGGCTTGCTGTGCACTGGCTTGCGGTGCACTGGCTTGCGGTGCACTGGCTTGCGGTGCACTGGCTTGCGTTGCGCTGGCTTGCGGTGCGCTGACTTGCATTGCACTGGCTTGTGTTGCACTTGCCTTCGTTGCACTGGCTTGCGTTGCACTGGCTGGTGTTGCACTGGCTTGCGCTGCACTGGCTTGCGTTGCACTGGCTTGCGTTGCACTGGCTTGCATTGCACTGGCTTAGCCATTGCATTGGCTTACAATCAGCAAGTCGGTGTTTACATAGAAGCCACATCCGCCGCTGAGTACTACAGAGAAACCTGCCCTGGGAGACGGGTGGTGTTTCCTGACACCGATCCCGATACGCGTGCCACCACAGTTCCGAATGGCCTCGTGACAACTTGGGTGTGCCCCTGGAATGGATTGGTACCGAAGATGTACGATCCTGACAAGTATTCATGTTGCTGTGGTCGCTAAAAGCAATCTGTAGATCTGACTTGCTGTATCTGGCTATCTGTAATCTGTGTTGCTTAGCAACAAATCAGGGCTTTCTTTTGGTACTGTATATGAAACAACTTCAAACAAGCAACGACTCGTTGCGTTTTGCCAGGCGCTGAGTGTGTGCACACATCCAGAAGGGGCAGTTTACAAGTGTTTGCTGCGCTGTGCTGCGCTGTGCTGCGCTGTGCTGCGTGTGTCGTTGTACATGTGCCTGTGCGTGCAGTCGGACCGAACGCGGAGTACACCGAGTACGTGGCGACGCGCTGGTACCGCGCACCCGAGCTCCTGGTGCGGGATTGCCACTACGGGTCTACCGTGGATATCTGGGCGCTGGGCTGCGTGATTGGTGAGCTGGTGACCGGTGACCCAATCTGGCCGGGCCAGTCGGATGTCGATCAGCTCTTTCTGATCCAGAAGACACTTGGTGAGATCCCGGAGCCACTGATGAGGAAGCTCTTTAACAACGTCATGGTCCGCATGCCCACCAAGGAGGAGAAAGAAGGCAGCAGGGTAAGGTTACAACCGGCCATTAATAGAGAGGTTAAGGCTGCACGTTATTTTTTGACGTGACGCGCAGTTTCACGTTAACTTTGGCGTAAAACTCCAAGTTTCGACGAAACCTGCCGGTCACTCGCGTTGTTTTCCAACACGCGAGCCAAATACGCGCTGAAATTTCGCGTCATGTCAAAAATAGTGTGCAGTTTAACCTCTCTAGCACCCCTGCAGTACGTTGAGCACAGGACAACCGTTAAGGCTGGGGCCCTTGGTTTTGATGGTCCGAGCTATGTTGTATGGCATCCCATGTTGTATAGCGTCAACACGTCAGACTATTTAGTATTTAGTCCCGGATATCTCCGTCGGAATTCTGCCCAAGGTGCCAATACTGTAAATATACACATTTTCGGCAGCTATTTAATTTCGGCTATATTCGGCACCGACCCAAAACGCCTAAATTAAAACGCCGATGAAATTTTTCACAGCATCTGTCGCACTATACCATGCCGTCTACCCCACGCCGAAAATAAATCGCCGCCAAAATGTCAAAAATCGTGAAGTGCCGAAATTTTGCAGCGCCGAAATTTTGTATATTTACAGTACTATGACCTGGCCCTGTAGCATGCTGTTCACATGATTGTCTCTGGTAATAATGAATCATTTGATTGTCGTCAGGCCTGTGTCGCATCGTGGTCCGACTCAATGTACAGTACAGTCTGTATCGGCTATAGAGTGACCGGATATAAGAATATATCGGCTACAGTGATATTGGTACGAAATATCAAAAGCAAAACGTGTTTTACCCAGTACAAGTATCACTATAACCAATATTATCGGATGTAATGATATATCGGATATTATGATGGCAACAAAGAATCAAAACATTCATAACATGCTATATTATTATCGGCTCTAGTGATAACTTTAAAATACATGTAGCAATAATATCAAAGGCCCTATTTTTTTTAAACTTTCTTCATGTTGCTTATTTTTATAGTGATACATGTACATGTACATAACATAATTTTTTGTATGGAAATGCGGGCACTGTCAACTATGCAGCATGCTCATTTGTCAAAACGCCATGCTGGAAGTATTTCCTTGCCTTTCATGTGTCGATCGGAAAAAGAAAAAAAAATCGGTCGTATCGCATATAATGATGCATCGGTTATAGTGATAAAATCACGGAAATCAAAAGGGTACGCTATAGCCGATACAGACTGTATATTCATTTTATATGCCCTTGACTTGAGTGGATTAGGGTATGGATATTGAATGGTCTAAAACCCCGGCACCCTTCAACGGTTCAACCCTACATCATACCTTGATTATGTGATGCCTGCATGTAGACATTTCGAAACAGGGAGAAAATTACGATCCAAGATATACAGAATCTGGCTTTTCAGACTGTAAAATGCTCAGACGAACACTCCCTTAAAATGATGATGTGCCCCAACGCAGTGATCCTAGTTTTCGCACGGCCTCTTCTGCAATTCCTAAAGTAGTTAATGAGCTGGTATTGAGCCAGCCGGGGAGCGAAACAGTTACACGCAAGGAACATTTTTGTTCGCGTCCCGGTGCTGACAGTCAGTTTTTTCTTCAGACTTTTTCCCCTTTCAACACCCTCAGCAAGTTCACATTTTCTCCCGGTGTTTTTCATTTTCCCTTGTTGTTCACAGTCTGTTGGCACGCTGGCACAGATATACAAGGGAAGTCCCCCTGAGCTGATCCGCTTCTTAGAGGTAAGTCACAGCAGCGGTGACTAGCTAAGCCTCATAACTGCACACGACTGTGAGTGCATGGTGGCTACGATATGCAGTACACTTGTCAAGAGGACCATACTCAGTAAGGAATGATAACCGCACACGACTGTGAGTACATGGTGGCTACGACATGCAACTTGAGGCAGGCATCCTTGCGTTTAATTTTAAGATATTGATACTCCTCGTACAAGTCCATCCACGCACAGCCACCATTGCCACGCCATGCAGCCAGGTGGATAGTGTGACATGCGGAATGACATTGCTCCACTATGTCTACTGTCGTCTAGTATTCTTTGTGTCACGGTGCTCTCGTGCATGCTAGATCTCCTCACGCTAAAGACTATACATATGCTTCAAAACAACCACAGTGAAACTTCTCTTATTACGATAGTAAATATGAAAGTCGGCTCTAGTTTGCGCTTTCCTGTGTGTTATGGGGACACTCGCAGCGGTATACTGGAGAACTCAAGTCGGGGCTCGAGTGCAGATTGTTTTGTTTTTGCCACATACCGTGACACTGTATTGCATAGTGCGGCTGACTTTCGTTTGCTGTTAGTCTGCTCCAAGCAAATTCAGCTGGACAGCAAGGGAAACTGCCATGTATACATGTATGAGGAGAGGATCATGAGTGAGACCTAGTTATCAATATCAGCAACGTATTTGAAGTATCGAGCCTGCGCGGGGATTTGACATTAGTCGCTTTGAGTCCAATAGGAAAGCCGGCTCTAGTTTGCGCATTCCTATGTGTTATGGGGACAAGCGCAGTGGTGTCCTGGAGAACTCAAGTCGGTGCTCGGGTGCAGATTGTTAAGTTTTTTTCCGCTAACAACTGCTTTGCTCCACAATGCGCTTTTGCTCTTTCTCTGTCCATACGCACTGCAGGATTGCCTGCGTTTGAATCCGGAAGAGCGTCATTCATGCAGCGAGCTTTTGGACAGCGGGTTCTTCCACGACTTTGGCTACTATGAACAGGAACTTCAGGTGAGAGTTATAGGCGTATATAGCCCTTGTCACTGACTAAATGTCACATGATGCCAAGTTTTGGTCACAAGCAGGGGTTGTTAATCCTTGCCGTAGGGGTTGAAAACCAGCACAACAGTCTGCAAGTTTTACCATTGTTGGCTGAGAAACTCAAGGACTCATTCAATTAGGATTCATGTCATTTGGGTTTGTTGTTTCGAATGTATGAGCCATGTTTATTTCGTCTGCTTGATACCTGCTGGGTGCTTGCTTCAGTATGTAACTTCTTTTCAAAATTGAGTAGTCAATAATCGTGTGTGTATGTGTGTGTGTGTGTGTGTGTGTGTATGTGTGTGTGTGTGTGTGCGCATGCGTGCGTGTACGCACATGTGTGTGTGGGGGGGGGGTGCGCATGCGTGCGTGCACGAGCGCGCGTGTGTTTATGTGTGTGTGTGTGTGTGTGTTTGTGTGTGCGTGTGTGTGTGTCTATGTGTGTGTGTGTATATGTGTGTGTGTATGTGTGCATGTGTACAGGAAGATATCCAGAGAGAGCGGGAAGCAGGGATCATTGTGGACACTGTAAGAATAGCTATGATGCCGATCTTCTTCTTCTTCTTTTTTTTAACACGCTCGGGTCATATCCACTTTTATACCATCACCTGTCATCTGCGTGAGGAAAAAGCGACTGCATGCTGATGATTAACTAATGGTGTAGGGCAGCTCAACCATAACACCCACACAATTGTTGTTGCCACTCTCTCCTGCACAGCAGTATCACATTCAGATCGTGATTGGTCTTGCCCTGAGTCTTTAGTTTTCATTTCAGAACTTTGATTATAGGCTCTGTCACAATGGTTATTGCTTCGTGAGTTGGCGAGGGTGGAGGGTCGGGTTCCCCTCCCGTGATTAGTGCTGCACCGAGCTTGTTTTGTGTGAAAGTATAATTATTATATTATTATTAGCACACGAAGAGACGAAGCTAGTTGTAAATCTGATAAGGTCTTTCGTATCATTACTCTTCAAAATCAGTACATGGTGATAATGTGACGAAGCACAACGATGTCAATTTATACAGCATATTGGCGGTAAAATTGTGATGAAACGAACACAGGCTGAATGATAGTGTGAGTTGCGCCAAAGAGTACACCTCCCTGTTATAGTGCGTGTACTCTTTGGCGCCACTCACACTATCATTCAGCCTGTGTTCGTTTCATCACAATTTTTCCGCCAATATGCTGTATAAATTGACATCGTTGTGTTCGTCACATTATCACCATGTACTGATTTTGAAGAGTAATGATACGAAAGACCTTATCAGATTTACAACTAGCTTCGTCTCTTCGTGTGCTGATATGTTTCCCTCCGAGTAAGTCTCTATTATTATTAATATTCTTATATTTAGAAGTATTGGGAAGTTAGAGGTCACATGCCACGTACTGCTGCTCTTTTGGTTCGAGTCCCGGTGGTGTGACTGATGATTTTTTCTTTTTTTCATATCTGGCTTGCAAGTGTTGAGTTTCGGAGAGAAAAGAGCAGTACGTGGAATGTGGCCTCTAATTTCCCAATACTTTAAAATTCTCCGTGAACTCCAAATTTGAAATTGCAATTTAGAAGTATTACAAAATAATTGAGAGGCTTTGAATCGTTTTTATCAAAATCTAAAAATTTGCCGGGTTGGAAGGTGGAAATCAAAAAAAAGAGAAAAAGTTATTGCTACGTGCTGTCAAGGTACTGGCGGTTAACATTAGCATGGGGCTGCTTTTGCCAACAACTATGGTCTATACAGCTCTGGAGGTGTCTGCCTTGCGACGTGTTTGTATAGGCACACACCAGTCTGTTCTGTTCTGTTCGGGTCAACCCATGCACTGTGTGTGTATGCACAGTTCTGGCCTAAGTAAACCAAATCATGAATAAAGTAGCGCCACGCTCAAGTGCGCCAAGGTTGTTAGCTACTTTTGGCTAAGGCACTCTCATCGGACAGTCTCGTAGTTTTACGACAGGAAGAAGTATTATGACAGAAGTATAGAATGAAGAATGATGGGCGATCCTGTATAATCACTATGACAAAGAAACGAGAAATACGAATTCTCAAATAGTGAGTACAGTACAGTATACTCAATCTGCAGACAGAACTGTTTCGTCCTTTGTGGACTCGTCAGCGCAGCACAGAGGAAATAAGGCCGAATCATAATATATATGTCTTAGCATACACCCAATGCTGTAGACAGGCTGTTTTGGCCGGAAAAGGCCTCATCAGTACAGCTACGAGCTAAATAGGCCGAGCTGTCTTAGCATACATGTAAGTACACCTGCTACAAGTGTTGTGTGTGGTGTTAGGGCCACCTAGGGCCCACCGACGCTACTAACATTCACGAGGTCGGATTTCTCTGGCCAACACTGTAGCACGTTGTTGTTGTATACTTTATTTATAGTGGAAATCAAAACAGGCATATGCCTACTGACAATGGACCCACTGCGCTTTGATACCCCGGGGGCTGTGCTTGATACCCCGGGGGCTGTGCTTGATACCCCGGGGGGCTGTGCTTGATACCCCGGGGGCTGTGCTTGATACCCCGGGGGCTGTGCTTGATACCCCGGGGGCTGTGCTTGATACCCCGGGGGCTGTGCTTGATATCCCGGGGGCTGTGCTGATGCAAAGCGAGTTTGGTTGTCCTGTTGTTGTTGTGCTGCAGAAGAATGATGAGAGCACGCGTAGCACTGTGGGACTGACGGGCGGCGGCATGGGCGGCGGTGGCGGTGGTGTCACCCTGCCACAGCTCACCAGTGACAGTTTGACGGAACTGGCCGCGGCTCACACCAGGAAAAGTGAGTTGCATGCTCCCGCGGACGCGCACCCAGGGCATACTGAGCCGGGAGCGTGCCCCAGGACCACGGAAAGAAGTCCTGTCTTGCCAGTGGTCACCATTCCGTATCCGCATCTCATTGATATTGCACTCTTGTCTTTCTTGAGAAAATTCACTAGCTTGTTTCAAGTTGTTTGTCTGTGAACCAATCAAGGCAAGCATACCGACATTGGATATGCGCGCTATGTGTCTCTCTATCTTCTTCCAGAGGATAAGCCACCTCCACCTCCACAACGGGCACCGACCAAGTTGCCGACTATTGAGGGTGGTGCTTCGCAATTCTTCAAGTAGCACGGTAAATACAACACGCGTGGCCAAGAATAACATGCTGGCTTGGCGGTGCACCAGACGACCGGCGCAGCTGGATTAATTGTGTTCCCAAAAGCACCTCCTGTTTAGTTCGCACGGTACGTTCCCGGGAGGCTTTCTGGATGTCAGCCCTGGGTAGTGTTTTCACACTTGTTCACCGAGGATGACGCATGGTAACGTATGCCCCTGCCCCCGGGCTACTACCCCCCCCCCCCCGACCCCTGCCCCGGGCTATTACCCCCCCCCCCCACCCCTGCTCCCGGGCTACTACAGAGTGTAGTGTGTTCAAGGGCCAGTGCCCAGTGTGCTGTAGTCTATCTCCTCCTCCGCTGCTGCTGGTGCATAGAGACATGTACGCGCAAGGTTAGTTTGAGTCCACACCAAATGCCCCGCCGGCGTATACCCTTCACCAGAATGAAGCGTACAGCACTTGCAGGGATGATCACTGTATGCAATGTGCGGTGCTTTCAAGTATATGTACAGTGATTCCGGGCCGGACGCTCGCTGTTTCTGGATTTCTTCTCGCAAAGTTTTCTGCATTCCTTGAGACCACGTAACGCTATCTGAGTTGACTGACTGCCCTATCACCAAATCCACCGACTTTTTCCTGTCGCTCACGCATTGTGCAAGTCATGGCTCTGCTTGTATAAACAATTGTATATCATGGTAATGTCATACAGTTATGGAGGTGGGAAATGGGCTCGTATCTCTGCACCAGTTTGCGCATTCTAATTGCTCCGGCTAATGTTTCCTTGGCAACAGTTGTAGTCTGAAGTTGCATTTGCTTCAATGCACACGATAATGGTCATGTGAAGGTGTGTTTTTTCTGCAGCAGTGAATCGACAACCAATGCACTTGTAAAAAAGCCCGGTGACGCTGTAACATTTATTGTCAATTTGATTTCGTATAATAGTATTATGTACCGCTGGTTTAGTGCATTTCACACGTCTCGGCCGTATCTCTTTTTGCAACACCAAAACACTGAGAAGTACAATTGCTCGATTATTTTGACAGATGCCCTTGCTGGTGTTGGGTCACTTGATTTCACCAGTGCCGGGCAGTGTGTTGGGTCACTTGATTTCACCAGTGGCAGTGCGCAAGTAACAGATACTTGCTACCCAGTCACTGGTGGTTACCCTACATAACAGGGCTTGTGGTATCAGTATTGCAACCGCGAAAAGCTGTGAAAATTATGAATTTTGGTTCCACTCGGATCGTGTCCACTGTGGTTGGACACACATGAGTAAACACCTGGCCAGTCAGTGGTCTGGCACACTGGCTGTGCTGAGGAGCCCACCAATCATGCAATAATAATTATGACTATAATTATTAGGGCTCAAACGATTAGTCCGATTAACCGGTTGCAGACCGGTTACGAAGAATTAACGGTTAACCGATAAAGATAACGGTTACGCAGTAACTTTTCAGTCAATTTTTCAAGTATCAGGTCGTTGCAAAGTGTGCACTTTCGTGGGCTGTCGCACGCGTACGCAATTTCTGGGCTGTCAACTCGGTCATATCTGGTCTCTTGGTGTGAGAGTATGTATGAATGAGCATGCAAGAGAATGTACAAGTGGGCGTTGTACTGAATAGGGTACATTTTTTTGAATGAGTATAGTCAAATATACGGTTAAAAAAGAGTCCGCAGGATTGCCGTGGCTTATAGGTTATAACCGGTTAACCGACCGTTAGCTTAGCAGTTAACCGTCAGGGGTAAAACCGTGACCGTTTGAGCCCTAATAATTATTATGAGTACACACGCTGTATACATGTACATACTGTAAAAGCAGAAATTTTCGGTGGTGTTTTATTTTCGGTAACTTCGGTGCCGACAATTTTTACCGAAAATAAAACGTGCCGAAATTAAATTTCGGCACAACCGATACTGTATACATGTAGTACTAGTACACTTACCTGGAAAACGGGTTTTACCGAAAATTTCCCTCCGGCGAACCGCCGATTTTGGATAAATACCGAAAATATTCCACCACCAAAAATTTCTGCTTTTACAGTAGGAGGCATGGGTGCACAGTTTGTACCACCAACCTCAGTACCTGACCAGGAAGTAACACTTGCATGTACATGATTCTACAGTGTAGTTGTGTAGGCAGAGTGGGGTGGGGTGGGGGATGGGGGGGGGGGAGGGGGGGGGGGGACTATCGTACCAACTCCTGTACCTGACCTGGGTGGTTACCAGGCAGTCGTAAAATACCGGTATACCCTGGTGGTTACACACAAACACCAACATGCTAGTTCAGCAGGAGCGTTTAAGGGGTTGAAGCAAATGTTTTTTTGTCGTCCCTGAAACGAACATCATTCGTTTCGTACTTGGACCCCTCGGGTCCCCTCCCCTCCCTCTGAAACGAATGTAGCGTGCTATGCTGGACGACGAAAATCGCATGCATGTACATTATGTAGTGTCGGCTGACGTGCGATTTTGGCTCGCACCTCCTCCCCCCCCCCAAAACGAATGTTGTTCGTTTCAGGGACGAAAAAAAAAACTTTTTCGACGACCAAAATTTGTTGCATTCGATTAATCATCACTTTGAAAATCATTATAATTATGAAGGTACCAGTTAGCCACTCTGCACCAGGGAGTTGTAAAATGCTCTGCATCAAGCACACACTGCGGTTTTAGTAGGTGACATCCTGCACATGATTGTATTCAAGGACAAAGCTGGTGGCCTGGGCTGCACTGGACCAACTCAGTCCCGTTGCCGAACTGTACAGTGCTTGTGCAGTGCTTGTGCTGACAATGTGACAATGTACGTCTACTTGTAGTAGCAGCATTTCCAGGGCATCAAGGGCCAAACAAGTCCAGGGCACCACTGAGACCTGCACTGTGGCTCGGATTTTACCTGTCACAGCTGTAGTTGGCAAAGCCTCCACTGCCCAGCCTACTTTAAACCTACATGTACACGAATGCCGTGCGGCAATGGCAACGCACCACACAGCGGGATCATTGACACATACCCTCCCTAGTAGTTATGGCAGAGCAATGAACCATGCACGGTTATAACACCTTTGCATTTCATTCTTCCTTCACATACACCAAATATGGAGTCATCTCAGTAAACTGCTTGCAATAGATGTGGACTAGATGCAATTCTTTTGGATATTATCATACTTTTTTTTTGAAATTATCTGTTCCCCCGGTCTATTTCTCCGTGTCCAAGATCTGATTCTCTTTCATGAGTTCAGTGTGAAGCAAACTCCTGTCCAGGCTTTGCACGGACTCGGATTTCGTCTTGAGTGCCAAAGCGGCGGCGGTTCCCGAACTGTGTCCCATGATCATCCACTGCGGTTCAAGACGCAAGCATGAGAAGCCCACGTGCGAGGACGAAACGGCACCGGGCACGAGCAGATTGGACGCTTCCTCTACACTGGGAAGGAGAACGTCATAGGGAATTTCAAATGGCCCGGGGTTGACTTCAACATCACCCTCATCAATGACTGCAAATTCAGCCGTAGCAGCACCACCCGGGTTTTTATGCTTGCAGCAAGGGTTGATTCTGCCTCCGCTGCTTTTCAAGCACTCGATGCTATCAGGGAGGCAGGGGTACCTCTGCGAGTTGTGTGCGTCAAAGTTGTAGGATCCGCAGCCAATGGAGCTCTCATTGCGCTTGGTGCTATCGCCATCCCGTGCACTGTGCTCGGTGAAGACGAAGGGACCGAGCATGCGCCGCGCTTCGCGCACATACAGCTGCGCCGGCCAGTGCGGCTCGTACCATTCGTTGACCAGGTGTTCGTCCGCACACAGGCCATAGTCGAGCATGTTGGCGCGGATGGATGCATTGATAGCCGGATCGTGACCAAGAAACCAGAGAAGCTGATGTGTGTACAGGTAGTGCTGTCGGATGATCGCCTTCCGCTCTGTCCAATCGGCATCCGGATAGGCCCACGATCCCCCAATCAGGTCCGTGGACATCGGTCCAGCATTGTTAGTGTCGGACTTTCCGTTCGGAACGCTGCCGATGCCAAGGAAATGATACACTTTCGGATTGGAGTTGACCATGTCGGTTTGGGCGTAGCGGCGGACAAGCTCCCAGTCCTCAGGGTTGTACCCTTCTGGCTCGCTGATCTCTACTTTGTTGGTGGCGTTGGTTGTCAGGCATAAGCGTAGGTTGTACGCCCCGACCTTCTTGTCTGCGTCACCTGGCTTGCCCGGATCTCCAGAATAGACCAAGTTGAGGGTTTTGTTGGTGGCGTGGTCGATGGGATCCACAGCCGTGTAAAACTACAGGATGCAAACAAAGAATGCAAACACAGGCGCACGCCATGCCGTCAGGACACGGGATAACTAGAATAATGAAACATCACTGCTCCTGAGGCAGAGCCAGTGCCTTTCAGTCACCCGTCCATTGTCCCGGCTCATGCATTCTTCTCACAAGTACGCTGCACACATCAAACCGACAAAAGAAGAAAGCACCGACCGGGATTCGTTCCGGGTCTGAACGTTCAAGCCTTGTCCTTGTCATTGCATCCTAGAGGCAGTGCTTGCCCTGCACACGTTGTACAGAACAAGTACAGTGAAACCTGTCTAAGACGACCGCTCAAGGGACCTTCAAAATGTGGTCTCTGTTACCAGGTGGTCCCCTTAGCCAGGGTCATTGGACTGGAAATAACATCCCTTGGTACTGGTTTCAGTGGTCTTCTAGGACAGGTGGTCGCCTTGACAAGTGGTCGCCTTGACAGGTTCTACTGTATTCAGATTGGTGTGCATGTAAAATGATGTAATCCGGGGCTGGTAGCATCATGAACATCATGCCATAGCTGGACATGTAACTCTGGCATGGTTACCATGGTTACAGCGCTGATAGGTCCTCACACTCACAGTATGACTGTACTGGGGGATGTAGGGTAGGCAACAGGGGCGTCGGACACGGTCACGGCGGTCACTACCGTATTGGCCGTACCATGCCACGTTTTGCCCCCAGGTATCCCGTGAATCAATAAAATACACGGATCTGGGTTCTAAAATTTCGGCTCGGCCACCCCTCCCCAACGAGTAAATTGCACTTCAGATGGCTGACCGTACCACACTAAAATACCTTCCAAAGCCCCTGGGCTGTTCAGTGAAGTTAAAGCACAGAATGCTCATTCGCTGCATCAGTTTCTTGAGTTTAAACTCGACGGGCAGCTGCAAGTTGACTTTCTACTTAGTGTACATACTATACTGAGCATGATGTGGACAGAAACTGGGAGAAGTACAGGCCAAACCGTGTACAGTAGAGTCGCACGCTGAAGAATGTGGAGCCCAAGAACGTCCAGCCTGAAATTCTAAGAACGCAACAGCCTAAAGCTAAGAACGGCGGTGTTGGTTTCTGGCATCTTGTGGGATACATAATAATCCAGTGCGGATTGTTTCTAAGAACGTGCTATAAGAACGCAGGCAGATTTCTTGAAAAATAAGAATGTCCCAGGCTAACCCCTTGGAAACAATGTTCTTGCGTGCGCGACTCTACTGTACGCCAGAACGCATCTCGGCCCCGACTCGGTTGTGAACGACGTCGAGCAATTTCGAGTGAGTGGATGTGTTGTGTCGACGTGGATAGTCTATGCAGACATTGTAGTGTACCTGGAGTGGATGCGATGTGCATTCCACCCTCAAAAGACCACTCGTCTTGAGTTCGTTTGTTTGCGATAAGGAATATTCAGGCTAGTTTGAGCTTGAGTGTTTCAAATAATTGTTGTCACGTGACTATAATAGTGTAGCACGTGATCATGACGGTGTAACCAACATGGCCGACATCACGTGATCCATTAATGCAGGGGATTGAGTGGTTTCCTTTGCAGGGAGTTTCACCTTTTGAATGGGTGTGAGTGTGTGCGTGGGGTCTGATGTAAACAAATCTTAAAAGGAATCTATACTAGTACCTGATTTGACGGACTGTACAGCTGCCTTCCTGCCAGAGATTCATTATACTGAGACACAGCTTCTCGTCCGTACGTGTATCGAACACCGGACATTGCCATCAGATCTCCCTCGTATGTTGCATCAATGAACACAT